TGGATTTCCACAGTAAAAGTGAATGATATTTTACACAGTGGTAGAGGGCATCCTGTTGAACAAGTGTGCAGTGAAAGTAGTGAGGGAACTTTTTTAGATTTTTTTAAAATGAATTTTAAAAAGTGCTTTTGGGACCACTTGTGCACACTTTGACCCCCATTTTCTCTGGATTTCTACAGTAAAAGTGAATGATATTTTACACAGTGGTAGAGAGCATCTTATTGAACAAGTGGGCAGTGAAAGTATTCGCAAACCTCTTTTTGTTCTTTTTAAATGATTTTTTAAAAGATAAAGCATTTAGCTTTCTCGTCGTCACGGCTTCCCTTTCCACATTTACCGTAAGTAACAGCATAAAAGAGCCAACCGCATTCAAAGTGCGGACCTCTTTACCGCTCCCGACGAAATGCAGGGCCACTTTACCGCGGTCAAAAGTCGGTGGGACTCTTGCGATTCCTACACAGATCACCTGTTTTTTTGCAGTTTTTATGCAATAGGCAAAAATATGAGAATCGCAATACACGTCGGACATTTATTTATTGATATACATCAATATACTTGATGTCACTTGACAATGACTGAACATAGTGTCTTTGTTACTTCCATTTAATGTAATTACAACATTAACCACTGTAGTATTACATTGTTGCAGAACAAACACTGTCTACGAGTATGCACAATACATGCACTTACATTCATGGTTGCCACTTGTCCCTGAGCCAGAGCCACACTGACACTAGAGCCCTAACGCTAAAAATCTAATTTTATCTGCAACAGTTTAGAAATGCCATTGGTCAGTGCGCAGGAAGCCGTTTAAAGCCCATAATCCGACTGCTCAACGTAGAGAACACAAACGATTGTAATTCTAGTTCAGCTATCACACGGCGTGCCTTTGGTTAGAAGCACTTTACAAGAGCATCGTGTCAAAAACTAAACGAAACTTACCATGCTGCATGAACAGCCCGCGGGGCAGTGTAGAGCAAGACACGCAGTGGAAGAGTTAGCACAGAGTTAAACGCAGCACATAGCTGCTGTTAAGATCAACTATGTTTTTGTCGTAATCGATAAAATAATACATCCATGGTCGCAACAGGTTTATGTGATAAAGATGTGTTTTGCTAAGCGCTACACGTGTATGGCCAGTCTGACAACTACGTCATCGGGCAGAGCAAGACATTCCGATTGGTTCAAACGCTCAGTGACGTATTCACAAAAAAACAAAAAACAAAAAATATATTATATAAATAAAATATGAATATGAATTCCCACCTCTGCACCTTCTCCACCGACTCCCACTGATGACTGCTGTCGTTGTGTCCTTGGGCAAGACACTTAACCCCACTTTGCCCAAAGCCCCCACTGAAAGATCAAGGCTATGCTCACACTCAGAGAGCAGCCGTCCTCCTGTGGACTCACCACCTGCAGAGGGTCAGTGAGGGGCTGGTGCTATGAGACTTGGGTGGCATCTCTGACTGCCACCCCCCTGACCCAGAAATGGATTAAAGGGTAGAAAATGGATGGATGGATGGAAATATGAATAAAGCGTATATTTTCTACGTTATCAATATTTCGTATTCGTGCAAAAGCATATCAAAATGATCAGGGATTCAAAAACAACATCCAGAATGCCCTAACGTTGTAGTTAGTGCTTCTCGCCTCAAGGGGGAGCTCGGACGATAAGCGAGGGGCCGCCAGAGCGAATGAAATGAATATTATCGGCCCAAAAAGTTTCAGAGGAAAACAAAACAACCTGAAGTCTTATGAACATCAACAGCGAAAATATTATTGTGCTATAAACTATATATCCAATGAATATAAAGATGGTTAGGAGCTAAAACTGACTAAATATAAGTGTGCTGAAAACTATAAGCAATATAGCCCAGAGAAGACACTTGCATTAAGATCACTTCTTGCAGTGACACATGTTTGCACCATGAACATGGAGAGGTATGTTTTCTCTTTCTCATAATCAACATGCTGCAGAGCCCCTGCACATCCGCTCAAATCCCAAACATTTAAGTCAGGGCAATCCTTTTTGTCTGCTAAATCCTTTATATTTTGTCCCCATGACCAAATAAACACAGCTGCTGGAGTGGTCCTCAGGCCGCTAACCTTGGATGTATTACACAGAAGAGACAGACACACACTAGGTACTCAATAGTAAAAAGGGTCATCTCTAAAATGATGGAGATTATTAGGGTTAAATGTACTCAAATGGATTTCAGTAATAGGAACAAGTTGCATGAATCTGAATATGTAAACTTTGTTCAAAAATCTGTTGTTGTTTCTATTTAGCTAATAGATGACACCAGAGAAAAGAGGGCAGTACCAAGTCTCCCTTTCCTCAAAAACAGTCGTACCACAAGCCTCTCTCTCTGAAACCACCTCTGCTGTTCCCCAAAGCGGACAGTATATGCTGCTGGTTACACACCACTGTATGCAGGGCAGGCCTTCGATTCCCATGAGTCTGAAGCCGGAGGGGAGAGTGAAGAGAATGGACAGACTGAGCTTCCACAGAGGAGGGCATTAAGTCATCAAGCGGCTGCAGTTGGACTTTCCTGGACTGATCACCAAACAAGGTATGAAGAGTTACAATATATGTACAAAGCCAGCTTGAAATGTACTAAGAGGGATTCACAAACCTCTTTGTCTCAGGTCATGGAAAAATGCAATCTGCTAAAGTTAAAATTACTATGTTATTTTAAGTAAAGTTAAATGAGTGAATGACTTCTCACATGTTATCCTACATGAAGGAATTCCTGTGTGGTAGTGGCCGTCAGACATATTTTGATATTTTTTCATGTTACAGTCAGTTAATAATAATAATAATAATAATAAGGGAAAATAAGGGAATATGGAATTGTGTAGTTCTTGTCTGGTTCTGCTCTGGTTGAAACAAACATCTTCCTATTATGTCAACAAAAACGGTTGAGGCTGCTGATGAAGACCAGCAGGATGTGAACAACAGACAGAAATCCGGTTTCATTTAGTGGGATAAATGGGATTCACAGGCCGAACCAGGACAAGCAGTCAGCCGCTGTATAAACACTGTCAGGGCTGTGGACACTCAGGCCTGGAGACACACAGACGAGCCAATTGCTGAGTCCAAGCTATTAACGGGGGTTGCCCTAGGATTAACAAAAGGTTGGAAATATGTTTTTTGGCTCTTGTTATCCCACTGAAAGAGCCAAGGTGCTTCTAACACGTATGCTGTTAATGCACAAGAAACGGCAGCTGTTCCATCACTGCAATGCCTCCTATGATCAGTCATTTGGAAAGTTGAAAGTGTATTGCAACACTTTAAGCAAACAAACCAAAACATGAAAGTCCTATTGGCTCATGATGTGTGTTTTCTGGAATTAAGTTATTAGACTATAAGACAACTATGTTATTTCTACTTTGACAGCGATAACACTGCCATACTAAAGAGGTGAGGTAATGCTTTACAACTACACAACTTCTACTCAACTGCAGTCTGTATTCTTCAGCACAGCTCAGCATTACAGTGAATTACAAAAAATATTCAAACTACTTTAAAGTAAGTCGTATTGTGTGCCTGTCAGAAATATGCAGTTATTGAGCGCATCTTGGCACCCTAAAACTTAGCATTGAAAGAATATCATAAATAAATTCAACAGTCTTTTTGTGATGGATTTCTAAATGTCACCAAAGCTCAACCTGATTGTCAAAACCAATATTGTACAAACGCACTTTTTTCTCCCCAAAATAGATTTCAGAAACCGTTACTCATAAATGGGGCTCCTCCTCCCCACTTCTGTCCCAATTGCTACCAGTCATGCAGAGAGAACATGTAAGAGAGCCCCAATCATGAAAACCAGACAAGGACTAACTTCCATTCATTGAAAAATATAACAAAATATTGTGTTAAATGGACAACACAATAAAAATAGTAATGCTGTTTGCCACACGTTTCAACAAAAATATAGGAAGCAGAACAGCTTTACATAAAAAAACATGTACACCAAATTCCAGTACTTGAACACACCCAGATACCTGATACATAATGAAAGAGGAGGTATTTAAAAATATGAGTTATGATAACAGATTGGCAGAGAGTGGGTGGCACTGGTTGGATCCCATGAGAACAAAGGGAGACCCAAAGTTTAGTGCAGATACATTGGATTTTTCAAATATGTAAACAAACCTGTCACTAATACTTTCTACTAAATGATGCTGTTTTCACTCGCTTGTTGTTGAAGTTTCTATGGAAAGAGTTTCGTCAGTGTACCCATTAACAACCATTACATTCATGCTACAGCTACCTGTCCAAGAGAAGGAAGAGAACTAATATTTTTTGTACGATGTGTTTGAAGTGTAATATCTAATGCTGATAATATAACCCTTATATATACACTGCAGTAAATTATAATCTTTTTATAGGTGTTTTTGCAGAAAAAGAAAACATGGAAACTGGAATGGGGATTATTTTGATTTTCTTTAGTTTATCTTTTTCAATCAGCACTGACGCTCTAACAAAACACCCAATTTTAACAAGAATACGAAGAGCCCCCGAGGCTGATGCTGAGCCTAAAAAGTGTTCCTACACATTCCTGGTTCCAGAGCAGAAGATTACTGGGCCAATCTGTGCCGCTCGTGGATATTCCACAGACAAAGACCGAGTGACAAGACTAGATGTTGCTGCAATTCGAGATCTTCTATCAAAGCAACGCCGGGAGACAGAGACTTTGAAACTCGTGGTAGATGTGGATGGGAACTTGGTGAACGAGATGAAACTTTTGAGAAAGGAGAGCAGAAATATGAACTCAAGAGTGACACAGTTATATATGCAACTACTACATGAGATCATCAGGAAGAGAGACAACTCATTAGAGCTAGCACAATTAGAAACACGGATCTTAAATGCCACCACAGAATCCCTGCGTTTGTCGTCACGATACCGAGAACTGGAGGCTAAATACGCAGCCCTGTCAGCAATAGTCAACAACCAGTCTGTGATTATTGGAGCATTGGAAGAGCGCTGTATGCAGGTGTACAGCCGCAAACAAGAGCCGCCTCTGATGGGACCTCCCATGGTGCAGGTGGTGCCCGAGAACATCCCTGTGAATGTGCCACGCCTTACCAATGAAATCCAGAGGGACCACACCAGGGGCTTAGCGCGAGAAAGGGGCTCCCGTTCTGGGCCTTCCCCAACTAGTGGCACCCTGGAAGCACAAGATCCTCCGCACAGGAACTTCAGTGCAGAGGGTGAGTACATCTGAGCCCCTTCATTCATCCTATTTGTTCCCCAGGGCACCAATAGCCACAAGAATGTTGAGCCAGCTAGATATTTTAAAGGAAAACTGAAAACAGAGTCAGATGCAAATAATAGGTGAAGCTGGGGCCTCGATTCAAAAGGTTAATGATTGCCAAACTCAATTGGAAGTCTGCTTCCCATTCAAGAGAAACGAACCAGAATGGAAATAAAAATGTTGTAATGTCTCAGCTGAAGCGCAGGTCTTGAAGCAGCACAGTGGAACCCTTACCTTTGCCATTTCACTCATCAACTCAAATTCCTCACACATTAAAATTTCCAGGGCCCAAGAAAAATATAGTGAGTGGTATTTGAGTATAGTCCTGTTTAAAAATTAACCTGACAAAACTGTTCCATTGCATGAGAGACTGAGACAGACCCCAGACCAACCTCTGAGCTCAGAATTCACACCCCTTCAGCTACTATTCCATTATTAGACAGGTGACGCCCGCAGAAATAACATTCTAGATATTTGTGGGTAATTAAAAGTCATGCAACGGAAGTACCTTATTAAAACTAGCAAGCCACTTTACAGTGTGTTAACAGAACATCTCGTTGGGTTTGTTAGCCTCTTAATTAGGCCCTTTCTCCAGTTTTGGTGGAGGGGCAGAGCAGTCTATAGGACCTACATCCTTGGCAAATTTGTTTTCTATTAACATGTCTGCTTCTTGTTTTGTGGCTTCCCTACACTGTTGCTGTTTTATTATTTTATTTTATTTTCTATAGCTGAAAGCTTGACATAAAGTGTACGTAAGTTCAATAGCTGCATCCCATAAAAACAACTTGTTTTATTCCTAATTAGCCTATTACATATTTTCCGCCGTAGGTCCTTTCAAAGACTGCCTGCAGGCTCAGGAAGCAGGCCTCAGCACAAGCGGCATGTACGTGATCAAACCTGATGAGGCTGAAAGACCGCTGCAGGTCTGGTGTGAACAGGACATAGACAACGGAGGCTGGACTGTGATTCAGAGCAGGCGAGACGGCTCCGTGAACTTCTTCAGGAACTGGGATAACTATAAGGTGATGACAGATGCTTGCACACTCCTCTCTTCTGTTTGTCTTACTTGTCTCTCACTCTATCTACAGCCGCATTTGTCCAGACGCAACAGTGGGGCTGCTATATGAGCCGATCAGGGAGGCCATTGAGGTCTTCAGGACAATTTCCTCGGCTGGAGTCCTTGTGTTTTTACTTTGTGTTAAATATAATGCTATGTCAGCAGTTATATATCCATCTGAGGTCCTTCAGTGCGAGATTCTCATTATGAAACTTTAGACAAACCGGTAGGAAAGAATGTACCACAGCCCAATGTGTGGGGGTTTCTTTCCAAAACCACTACTACTATGCAGCCATCCTAAATGCTTGTTGGCTGAGCGCTTATGGGCCTCATATAGAGTGTAGACTTCTCATCAGAGGCGAGAAATATTGAGAATATCATTGTTGGCAGCCTCAGCAATTCCGCTTACATTTTATGAATGCATAACTGGGAGCTAAATGGCACTGTTCAACATTGCTTTGCTTCTCTGCTCACCCACAAAGTCACCACATGCACACACAGACACATAGCAGTAAACCAATAGGCCAAGATCAAAACCTCCACGTCATTCATCATTTTCTGGCTCAAAGCGTTAATCCGCAATCAAAAACGTCAGCGTTCTTGTCCATGCGAGTGTTGTGAAGGCACACGGCCAGACACACTGTAGATCGCTCATGGTTTTTCAACACAGACGCACAATCCTTTTTCACCATTTGCTGTAACCCAATAGTTTGTGAGGGTTTACATGCATCAGAATTATGAAGACTCATGCTTATTTTCCAGCTTACAGAGTACAACATGTTTTTTTCAAAGACAGTGTCCTTTTTTGGATCCTTTGATCACTTGTGTCTAAATTACAGAATCACAAGTCAAGTTAATCAACAACATTTCATTGTTCTGTTATTTCCCACACTCTCTTCCACATTATACCAAACAACTGTCATGTTTCTAAACTACAGAACCCACATAACAAACATCTTACATTGTTTTCTGCAATTTGACTCTACCTTGTAATCTGTGTGCTTCAGCGCGGCTTTGGTAACATTGATGGGGAGTACTGGCTCGGTCTGGAGGGAATCTTTCTCCTGGGGAAGCAATTGGACTACAAGCTGCTGGTGGAGCTGGAGGATTGGATGGGGAAGAAGGTCTATGCTCAGTACAGCAGTTTTCACCTGGAGCCGGAGAGTGAAGGCTACCGTCTGCGCCTGGGCTCCTACCAGGGCAATGCAGGGGACTCCTTCACCAGTCACAACGGCAAACAGTTCACCACACTAGACAGTGACAAGGATGCTTTTTCAGGTAGGGGGAATTTGTATAGGGGAAAAACCCCTCAAAAACCCACTATCATTCGTGATGTAACTAAACAATACAGGCAGCCCATTTTAATTATCAAGCTGGATTACCTAACTTTGAAACCACAAAATTATACTATGTAGTAAAATCACATTCATGTATTTTTTGCCTCTGTTACATCTTTCTATCTACTTTTAGTGTCAAAAAATAGGACTAGCCCTTACTCAGCCAATCAGCTCTCAGTATAATAGTAATAATAATAACAAATAAAGAAAAGTGAACAAAAATACATTGTTCTAGCAAATATACATTTTATGTTTTAAATCAATATGTTTTTTTTGTTTACATAGTTGCTGTGTTTAAGTAGCTGATGACCTGTATGTGACGTGATGTCAGGTTGGGCCATGGATTGGACTCACATGTTGGGCTGAAGCAAGTTGCTTCAGCCCAATCCTATCTTTGGTTGTACTATAGTCAGTGAATGTGATATGTTATTAATCAAACAACCGACCAAAAATAAACATTCATTCATGTCAAAGATAACATGTTTTCCAATAAGATAAAGACAGCATGTTATGGTCTGATTTGTTCAAGGATGATACTTAAACAAGACTCTTTATGTTGGGACAAAAGTCTGGTACTCCATCTTAGAATGTTAGGAGTTTCCAAAGAGATTTGTTTTAAAGGAACAATATATATCACAAGTATTACTTTCAACTGCATACAAAATAACACTAACAATGTTGTTTTTTCTCTATAACAGGTAACTGTGCCCATTTCCACAAAGGTGGCTGGTGGTACAATGCATGCGGACAAGTCAATCTAAACGGTGTCTGGTACAACGGGGGAGTGTATCGCAGCAAGTTTCAAGATGGCATCTTCTGGGCTGACTATGGAGGAGGCTTCTACTCTATGAAGGGAGTGCGCATGATGATCAGGCCTATAGACTGAGCATGACCTCATGGAATAAGAAAATGGAGAGAAGTGGTCATGAAAAAGCAGTAATTTTTGTGGACATTACAAACTACCTATGCCGTTTACCTACCAACATTTGCAGTTAATCAGTATAAGATGACATTCAGGGCTGTGTTTTCCTCATTACCAACGTCATCCAACTGAGAGAAAGACTTGCATTGATTACTTTCTCAAATTTGAGGAACAAGGAATATAATCCAGCTCTTCCTGCCACACTCAGAGAACTGTCTGGGGAAAATATATATGCCTTGTACTTGCCCTGGAGTACTTGTGATATGGAAAAGACCTTTTTGTGTGTATATGCATAATATATGTATAATTAACTTATCATAACAGAAAAGGGCCTGGTGTCCTGGAAGAGTAGTAAGTTATCCTATCAGGAATACTAGTAATTTCCTCAATTTTAAAAATGACAATCATTCTTCAAGTGTGCTATAGTAAAATGTAAAATGCTGTTAAAGTGCTGGTACTCATTGTTTTTCCCATATTGTTGTTGATCAACTTCAACTATATAGACTTAATAGGGGAACTGTGTCTAAATTAAATTATATGATATATTTTCTCTTCCATTGTGTAAGTGCCAAGGAGATAAATGTACCTTATTTCAATGCATACTACCCATTGTTTTATCTAATTATAGACACAAGCATACTCACTGCTTTTGTTTTGAACAAGTCACAGAACAAAGTAGTTTTGGTGACTTTGGATGAAAAAGGATTCTCTAATGCCCCCACTTCCCCATTGTGGCTACCGCACCCAGTGATTAAACCAATGTGTTATAAAGCTAAGACATGCAACAGGGCTAAAAATACAAATTACTGCAAGAAACCATTTTATTGAAAAGGTAGTAAAAGGCAGTAAAGGGTCAGACTAATAAAATAAAAAACATGAGTCATTAATTGCACAGAACCATAAAAAGATGGACAGTTGATGTCACTTAAAGGGGAATGTTCAATGGCTTCATTTAAGTTGAATGTATTCACTTTCAATAACAAGATTGAATGTGTTTTTGCTCACTCTAAGTTAATATTCAACACAGACATGTTATATAACACATAAATGATTTCTTCAAATCATTCATTTTCACACTCAAAACATATGACTTCAACCATAAATTTCATACCAGTAAATAAATGTGTTTTACTTCAAGTAATAAGTAATCGTCACATTTACAGGCATACACCTTAAGTAGGTGTCAATATGAAATGGACCAATGACTCTTGGTTTGAATGTCTCAACCCACACTGGGAACCATTACATTTAAGCCTCCTGTTGGTTTCAAACTTGTTTGAAGTACAGTTTACAGTTGAAGGTGGCATTATTATTGGCTCTTGTGTAATGGCTCATACTCAGCCCTCTTCCACAAAGGGCACCTGGACAGCGTCAAGTAGTCAAAGCTTTCATTGTCACATCTCTGTTGCCTTGGCTCACCACCGAAACAGCACTGAGTTTATAAGATTCTTGGACAAATCAGGCCTTACAGTGCAGTTGTGTTTACTAAAAGAGGTCACGGTTAGAGAAAATATTCGTGTGGCGAACTCATTTATAAACAAAAGCCCAGTTAATTTCTGGTACCTAATCAGCGAACAGGAAGTGCAGTGTTTTCTTTGTAAACAAGCACATAATTTCAACCTTTCAGTTCAACTTCATCTGATGTATTAACAGTTCGTAAAGTACATGTATCCATAGACAGAACTGAGTTTACTCCAAATAGAGGTCTTTCTATGAAGTTCATAGAAACACACTTTTGACAGCTTTTGGATTTGGAAGTGTAATTATTCATCTCATGTGCATTCTTGGTCTTTGTGACTTTTTTTTATTCAATATTTATATTATTGTTTATGAAGTTATCTTTTACCTTTAACTAATTTTCCACCATAGAATATCAAGCGGTAGTTTGAAGTTAGCATTAGCCTTTTTTGGTTGCTCTATTTCAGTATGTCTGACCAGTTTTTGCACTTATTAAAGTAAGTAGAGGTAAAAACCTTATAAATTACTTTCTTTTAATGAATCTGGTAAAAAATACTAAACATTATTTTGGGTAATTTCTCAGAATTCCATTGGTTCGAATGGAGTAGTAAAATGATGTCTCTGGGAGTTGTAGTGTTAGTGCAGGATATAACTAGGTAACACTGACTAGGAGCAACCCCACAATCTTATATGTAAATGCATTAATAAACGTTTGCATAAAAATGCAGTTACTTCAGAAGACTGAAGTCAGCATTACTCACCAAACTAGGAGACTCTTAAGTTTATTTGAGCATTAACTCTGTTTTTGCTGTCTGCTCTGCGGAAAAAAAAATCTGCTTATTGTGATATATGGTCCCAGTCATGGAGGTCTGCTTAAGAGTTCACAACCGCCTGGAATGAAAAAAGCAAGAAACACTGTCAGACAGACATCTTCACTGTTTTTACACCACAGTTAAAACAGTGAGACGATGAGGGCCCCAGAACACAAACTGCCTCACAAGAAGCAAGGGCCACAAAACCAAAAGGTCAAAATTGTGGAGCATAAAGGCACAAAGAAATAGCCTTATACACCAGGAAAAACAAACCCACAGAAAAACCAAACATTATATTTATTGACAGTCACTTCATGGAATATTTAGGGGGTCCGGTTATCGGTGTGTAACTGAACTCTACTTCCCTCTAGTGGCCATTGTAGTCACGTTTACGACCTATGAATAATAACAACCCAACACATAACACAGTACTGCAGAATAATAATAATAATATAATATATCCATGAATTGAATGCAACATACAAATAATTTAGTTTTCTAATCAACTAAATATACGAACTGTTTGTGACTGTTTTGCTCGCTTCAGAATGACCAGTTCAGACAAAAGTTCAGATATATTAGCATTGCTCATACACATCAAACGGACCTCGAGTTTCTCGTTCTTGTTGTTGAGCTAAACAATTTAATTATCATAAATTGGGAAACTGGAACGGCAGGGAAGCATAGAACATCCATTGCATGGAACGTCCCCTTTTCCATGAGTCGCTTCTTGCTGACGTCATTCGAAGCGACAGGGAGAGCGATGGCGGCTAATGCTAGCGAGCTCGAAATAGCAAAAAAAAATCTTACTGATGCCATTGGGGATAATCTTAAGCAGTAGGTTTTATGTGGATTGTAGTTGTCTCTTGTCTTTCTATTTATCCTCATTCAAATGTTGATTAAGATGTAAAGTAATTTAATTGTGTCAGTTCCTTGGCTAACTAGCTCACTGGTGTTACCAACATCAAAAGATGATTTTGTTTACGTTAGTTTGTAATAGCAATGTTAGGGTTTTTGTAGATGCTTTGTGTTGGTGTGTTTCAGCTTTCTGTTTCATGTAATATTTATAGGAGATTTTCCCAAACAATAATATATCTATATATATTTTTTTTGTTTTACTTTTCTAATCAGTGTGGCAACGGTCCACAGTAATGGACGTATATTACAGTGGACGTATATATTATACCGTTTTTTGTTTAAACTTTCGTCTTGACATTCAGTAGCTTCATGTTAAAAGCATCAAGCAAGTGATAGCAGTGTTGAATTGTTTTTTAAGTTGTCAATGTATTTATAGTAATTTCTTTTACAGTTACTGGGCAAATCTGAAGCTCTGGTTCAAGCAGAAAATCAGCAAAGAAGAATTTGACATTGAGGCACGACGTCTGCTTGCACAAGACAATGGTTTGTTATTGTAATACGCCTAGAACAGGGTTATATGAATTAATATTTTTCTGGTATCAATAACTCTTCTTTTAACTCTAGTTCACTTTCACAATGATTTTCTCCTGGCCATTCTCACTCGCTGCCAGATCATCGTCTCCACACCAGGTTGAAGAGGGATTGGTCTGAAATTCCAGTTTAGTTTAGTTTTACGCATAGATTGTTCTGAATTTTATATCAATTCCTCTAGAGGGCGTACCGCTACAGTGGTCAAGTGGCCCCACTTCAAAACCAGGAAAACCCAAGGTGAAGAAAAAAAGTACCTCAAGGCAAAGATTTGATGTAAGTGAAGTTTTAGAGTACATGTGTTTGACTGTGTAACTGGGACTAAAAAAATCCATCTTGGTCTTGTAGCATAGATTTCAACCTCAGAATCCACTGAGTGCGGCACAGCCTTTCAGTCCACGGGAGGCAGGTGGAGAGGAGGAGGAGCTGCGTCTCAGTGCACATACTTTGCTTCTCCCCTCACGAGGTCAGCTGGAGGCCCGAATGATGGTCACAGCCTTTGAACTAGGTCTGGACAACATTACAGAGGAGGCTGTTAACATAATGGTCCACGCAATTGAGGTGTGTAATTTATAAGAAATGTTTTTCTATTTATAGCTAAAACTTAGGTTAAAGGAGACATAATGTGCTAAATGTTAACATTGTAGCATTGAAAAAAAAAAACATATTTCAGAAGACTGAGATTCATTATGTAAAGAAAATATATATAATGTACAATTAATATACAATAAGTCTTCTTTAAATTCGTCATCTATTCTATTTTTAATTTTAGGTGTAATAAGGTGTATACAACAGAATTTTATGCCTGTTCCATGATCTGTTGCAGCATCATCTGAAAGATGTCTTGACAGCAGTGATCACCCGAAGAAAAGCCTATCGGTTGCGTGATGGCAATTTCCCTTATGCTTTTGGTAACGATGTGATGCCTCAACCGTATTTGAAAAATAGTCTTGCAGCTTATCAAAATGTTATGGAATGGTAAGACCCTTTTTACAAATTGTGCACAACACAATAAACTAGACATGTAGCAGTGAGTGCATAAGATATGTTTGTACTGTATTTTCTGGTGGTTCAATTATAAATCAAACCAGCCGAAAATGCATAATGAAGGAAAAAAACATGTAAAAGTCGCACTAGATAATCGATTTTATAATCCAAAAAATATGGTAATCTGATTTCATTAAATTGTTTTATTTCAAACTTGCACAAACGCAATTTCACAGTAGAAAATAACATGAATATTCATGACATATTACTTCACTACCTGGATTTGTCTTGTCTGTTTTATTTTACACAAATCAGTTCAGTAAATCTCAGGAAAAGTGATATTTATTTATTTGAATGGGACAGTGCATGTCAATGAACAGACACATTAAAAACATGAATGTAAACATGCCAGATTATAGCCAAAGGCTTATTTCCATCTATAGTCCCATAGTGTCAGGGTCACACGGGTCAAATACAGCAACATCAACGGAGACACATATATATATATATATAATGTTTTTTTTTTTATTGTCTGGATCCAGGATTTTTTGTCAGGAATGAAACTTCAACACTTGGAAATGTGTTTCATGTGATTTGAAAAGGATTCTGCTAAATAATGTTTTATTTTCTTCACAAAAAGTCTAATTCGTGTTTGGTCATTTTAGCCCACCCCCAAGTGCCTCTCTTCCTGCTGGTCCTCCAGTTCTGACATCCCCAGATGAAGCTGAACAACAAGCTATTCATTTATTAGCCTGCTCTGCCAATACTTTTCCTGCATCCCTACCTCCAATCAACATGTTTGATCTTTTAGAAGCATTACAAGTGAGGATTTATACTCTGGGTCATCAAATTATCATAATTATTAAATGGTCATTACTTTCCATTTGTTTTCTGTTATTTAAAAAAACCTTCAAAAACAACACTTTAATTTGTCTTGCAGGTAAACCGCGGTGTGATGCCTTCCCATACAATGTATGCTCTCAATATGGAGCGCATTTTGTCACAGCTCTGGCACCCCAGTCATGAAGAACTTGAGCAAGACCATGTACACCGGCAACGGATCTCCTCAAAAAATTGTATATTAATTGGTTAAGTAATGTTTTAAAACCAAATCAAAATGGTCTGATCCCTAATCGCTGGAAACGTCTAGTGGTACTTAAAATAAGGAATGGACATTTGTTTTCATTTTCTATTAATGAGAACATGTTAATTGTTACTAGTCTTTTTTGCCACCATTATGGAACTTTAGTCAATGTTTTTTGCACAGTGTTTATAATAAAATATTTTTGTATTTGTCAGTCAACTGCCTTACAGCTGCACACACGTTTTATCAATTCCAATGGTGTTTGAAACATCTGTATACATGCGCTGCGCTCCACAGGAAGGTGATTCAGACACATCCAGACCATAGACGTATGATCCAGACACTGGGTCGTCACCGCCTTTTACCATATTTGGTTTTGTGTTGCACTTCCGACGCGCCTCTATCCAATGAAGGAGCTCGCTGGTTCACGCTGTCAGCTGGTGACTCACCCGTCCCTCCTGTGCCTTCATAAACAAAGTAATCTTGCCTAGTTGTTATACAGGTCTGTCCCTACTATAATTAAACAGCTTTTGTATTTTTCAAGAACTAAAACCATAGCCTTTGCTGAAGGCTTTTATTGAATTAATTTACAAGTGCTAAAAATACAATGTAGAAATGTTAAAAAGTGTTATTCCATATGACAAAGTATGAAAATCTTAAGAAAATAAGGCAGTCGTAAATGCTACAGCAATTAACATAGTAGGTAATATGTTAGTGTCGGTGAAGGGCTCAAAATGAAAAAAAAAAACAACTGCAACTGGTGCAGAATCATGCGGGGTAAAGTTCAGATAACGTTGTAATTTTTGCCATTAACAATATGCAATATGGGGCAGTCAGTTGCGTTGTCTTGGTGTGAAAAGTGCATCAGTCCTGTAACATGTGTTTTTTTCATGAGGTCTTGGACAGGGGCACACAGACATTTAAGAACATTTCCTTTAAAAACATGAACAGTCTACAAAGCTTGGTCCCTGGTGTCACTGGACGTTTTTAGTAAGCTTGGAGCTGTTGGGTAAGAATAAGCTGGCAGCCACTGTTAACATGGTCCATAACTTTCTGCTTGAGTAGCGCCAGCTCGTCTCTCAGTACATTGGCAGAAGAAACCAATTCTGTGTGTTGGGTCTTCAGGTTTTTGACTCTGTCTTCCAACCTTGAGATCCTTTCCAGTTTTCTTTTCCGGCATTTGGACGCAGCTACCCTGTTCCTCATGCGCTTCCTCTCCGCCTTGATGCGCTCTTGTGATTCCATGTCGATGGGAGACAGAGGAGGGGTGTCCCCCGACATCTCTGGGACGGTTTGAGGCTCTTCTTTGAGCGCATGAAGCCGCGGATGGTGAGCTGCCGCTACTTGGTGGTCCATGTGGTTGTGGGGTTGGGCCACTGCATAACCTGTAGATACATGTTTCCCATTGGACGTAACAGAGCCCACGGCACCGGCAAATGCGCCTAAATTGGTATACTCTGGTGGCTCCGTGTGAGCCGTGCTGCTGAAAGGGGCGCCACCATTTTCGGACACAGGGCCAGGTGCCACATTGTTATTGCCGCTGGGCTGTGCGTCAGAGTTTGTGGCAGGCGCTGGAAGCTGCTGGTAGTGAAGTTCTGCTAACGCCTTTACGAAGCCCTCGGCAAACCCTTCCTGTTCGTCTGTGATGTTCTTGTTACAGTTGAATTGTGTCGGAGTGGGAGTAGTCAAACCGGTACACGACTGAATGATGAGCCTCTCGAGCTCAGGCGAGGCCAGCTTCAGTAAACCCACGTCCGGGGAGGTGAGGATATCCAAAGCTTTGGAGCTCAGCTGGGGTTTGAAGTTTTTTGGGTCGTTCAGATTTAGTGTCATAGTCTGTTTCAGAGTCTTAGGGTTAAATGCGAACAGCCCTGTTCCGTCACGCTGCGCATTGGAAGCGTTCTCGTCATAGAAGGTCGTTTCCATTTTCGTGGTCATGGATTTATTACCTTTTAAATAATGTTTTGAAAAGTCCCCTTTCATATGTCCCGTGGCTCAATCGTCGTCACAGAAAATATGGTGAGGAATAGTTGAAGTTCCACTCTCGACAACTGTCCCAAGAAAAACTTTCCTATCCCGCGAATCGAAGTCGCATCCAAAAATACGTTCTTCCGCCTTTGTGTTTGGTTTCCACTTCTGTCACGTACCTAATTTGTTTGTTTTTTCTATTCAAAACGCAAAAACAGCGTCTCAACCAGGATAATACTTTGTATCACTTCCAACGTGGGGACGAACTTTATCCACCTCTAAGCTGCAGCCCCTCTGAAAATAACAATGATGTCATTTCTACGCCTTCTGATTGGCCGAAGATGATATGATGGGCGGGCAATCGCTAATGATATGCAGGTTGCTGTGACAACATGCCCTTTCCCCGCCTCCCGCGATGGTCGACGGGATTAGGTAATGCAGACGCTGGGGCAATGGACGATGGGATTACGTAGTGTTTTTGAAAAATTCGTTCCCCGCTCAATTATTCCGGCTGTCCTAAAACGTGTAAGATGCACAATGTAACAAAGTAATGCCACACTAAAATTTTCAAGTAGTAGGCGATACCCTTTTGTTTTAGAATCCTATGGGAAAAGTTGCTGTCCAGTCTGTCCGGAGACTGACCTACTCATTGTATTATTAAACAACTTCTCAAGCCTCCCATTAATAAGTAAATAGCCTCAGGCAGAGGTATCTTCTGGCAGGACAATTGTGTATTGTTGTTCACTTTTTGTCTGTCACTTTCTCATCTCCAGATTACACAGATGTTATTGTTTTCTTTGAAAGTTCCACAGTACGTGGTGGAACTGTTCAAGAATGTCCAGAACCAAGTCATACCTGCGGAGGTCTTGTGTGTAGGCCACTCCTTCGGAGTCCTCTGACTGAGGTGACCGCAACCTTTCTGTGCGGGGTGAAAAGACTCTGGACTCCAGCATAGATGGAGTCCAGACTATCCAGCTGGACCATGACTGTCACACTCAAAGACGCTCTGTCTGCTCAAGAGAAGCTGCGTGCAGGTCTTCCTGCTGCTGTCAGACTGTACAACAAACACTTATTGTATTTAACCATGAAAACATGGCGATAAACATCTGTTTAAAGCAGAACCTGTCCAAGATGTCAGAATACATCACAATGGCAACACAAATAATATAAAATCGAAACCGCCGGTAGGTTAATTCTTTGTTACAAAATCATACCGAGGTGAAGTTGGCCGAACGTTTGATATTCGGGATTTTGTTCGAATATCAGGCGAATATCAAACGTTCGGCTAACTTCACCTCGGTCAAAAACCATCCCAGTTCATCAACACATGCACATAAACGTCTGGCCGTCTCCGCTCTGACTGCTGTCCCCATGACCTGGCTAAGAAGAAATGGATGCTCATAAACCTGCATGTTCCCATATACAGTATAAGTTATTTTTATATTATTATTTTTTAACACAATTTTATTTTATGTTTGTGAAGTAGAATTATAATTTTAATATAATCTTGTATATAAATATCCCCAATTCTATTATTAAATCCAGTAATAGCCACTTTTACAGTGTGAACCCAACAAAGGGGACTGCAGGGCCGGGTTAGTACTGTGATGGGAGACCTGAACACCAGCTGCCACAGTGGGGCGGCTACGGCTATAAAGTGTCAAACTGTCATTGTATCCTTAGGCAAGACACTTCACACATCATTGCCTAGAATGAGTCTGGTGTGTGTGTGTGAATGATTGTTGGTGTTCGGAGGGGCCGATGGTACATACTGGTTGCCTCGCTTCTGTCAGTGTGCCCCAGGGCAGCTGTGGCTTCAGTTTATCACCACCGTGTATGTAGTGAATGAATAATGACATGTAAAGTGTCTTTGAGTGTCCAAAAAAGGGCTATATAAAACCAATGCACTATTATTATTATTATTATTATTATTAATATAATTATTGAAATTGTTCTTGGGACTGGTATGAGTGAAAATGCCTAATGCAATGTTTCTCAGTACTCTTGAGACAAATATATGAGTGCGAAGTTAGAGAATCTAGTCGTAGTTGTAGTAGTCATTGTCATCAGTAGTCATCAATCTGAGCCACACAGTTAGTCCCCTTTGTTGCCTACTTGTGTTATAGCACTGTTATAGCCAACTGCCATTGGCTCTTCCTGCTTCCCATGTGAACTTTTGTGAAGGTCTGGTCAAACACTGTTTCCTGCACTGCTCTTGCCTCTACATTTACACATCACCCCCATCCTTCACACCCTCCACTGGCTCCCCGTTCACCTCCGTATAGAATACAAGATCCTCCTGCACACCCACCACTGTCTCCACGGTGATGCCCCCACCTACCTCACTGACCTCCTCACTCCACACTCCTCAGGCAGAACCCGGTCAGGCCAACAGCACCGTCTGCTCCCGCCCAGGACACGGCTCAAGAAAATGGGGGACCGGGCCTTCGAGGCCGCTGCTCCCCGTCTGTGGAACGCCCTCCCGGACCACCTCAGGGCCCCACAGACGGTGGAAGCTTTTAAAAAGGGACTCAAAACCCATCTTTTTACTAAAGCGTACTGCTAATTTTTTTATAGTCTTTTATCTGATTTTATGTGTTTGCTTTTATTTATGCTGCTGTTTGTAGCACTTTGAGATTTGATGTCAAATATAAAGTGCATTATAAATAAAATTTATTATTATTATTATTATTATTTACAACAAAAGAAGAAGAAACTGACCTCCCCTCTAGTCTACAATCCTTAGATGCTGTCATACCCAGCTATAACAATCTATAGAAGCTATAGAATATACTTATAATGAACTGCTACATAGTGATAGTATAGGGTAAAGTTGTAAAGGACTGAACAAGGAGCTTATTTATGTGTAGGGGTGATTGTTGAAGACGTGAAGATGTGTTATCCTCCACCCCTCTGCACTCCCATCTCAGTTTATCATTTTGAGTCCAAATTCCTCAATCACCAGCTGTTTTGCTGTTCTATTACTAATCAATCTTGTCAGCTATAATACAAGTTTTCAATTTCAATTCTAAAATTCAAAGTCTAAAATGTGAGACCTTACAGCAAGAGTTGTGTGTAGGTGCAGGGAAGAGAGTGCAAGGATTCGGTTGGGAAAGGGCGCACGTGTTTTGCGATTTGTGCTTTTTGGCCTCACTGGGTATCCGTACATCTGTGTTGTTAAAGCTCAAAGATCCATGCTCAAAGTACAATTTTCTGAAACCTGAACATGGACGCATCCAACAAATAGGATGTAGCTTTACCGTAAGTGTTTAACTATCGATTTCCTGAATAACAAAGAAACACGAAGCATAGGACGAAGATGCCACGGATGATAACAATGATCTGCCATTACTCCTCACCAGCCTCTTGATGTACTTGTAGATTATTCACAGTACTTACCATCGGTCTATATTGTTTATTTTTGTAGTTCTATGGTGCTTCGCTATTATTGGAGTATTTCTTCAAGATGTTTTACGTGGGAGTGGACGTGGGCACTGCGAGCGTGAGAGCAGCTCTTGTGACCAGAGAGGGTTTGCTCAAGAGCACAGCGGAAGAGCCCATCAGAATCTGGGAACCTCAGCCCGAACAATGCGTCCAGTCTTCCTCTGAAATCTGGAAAAAATGCTGCACTGTAGTTCAGGTCAGAAGTAAACAAAAAAGAGTTAAAGTTAGAACATAATCTTATTGATCTCCTGTGAATTATATTCTAAAATTGCTTTCAGTATTATTTTAAAGCTGAAATTCTGTCCTAGAGGGTTGTCAATGGAGTGGAGAGGAGCCAGATACGAGGAATTGGATTTGATGCAACCTGCTCTCTTGTGGTGTTGGACGAGTTTTTTCAACCTGTCTCTGTCTGTCATAGTGGTAAGTCACAAGCATTCATCCATCATTTCTTAATGTGGAATGTTTATTGCGATACTATTGATAAACAATAAGACAATACATGTATGTACTTTATCAATTATTGCCTGAGTAATCCGTAAAATAGATATAGTTGTATAGATAAAAAAAATATGTTATCTTATTTTATTAGGAGACACGGACAAGAATGTTGTGATGTGGATGGACCACAGAGCGGCAGAGCAGGCTGTGCGTATTACAAATACTGGTCACCCGGTTCTGAGTCGGGTGGGAGGGGTCATGTCACCAGAGATGCAGCCCCCTAAACTCCTATGGCTCAAAGAGGTGAGGGGTGAGAGAGGCCACCAAGCATGTCTGTTTTATCTAATATTATATGATTCTTTTCTCAGTGATAATGTAGTAGATGTGGTAATTAGAACACTTGAAATGGTTATTAACTGTTTTATATTTTGTCTTGTTACGACCACAATATATTTTGTTAAAATACAAACACTCTCTTATTCATTAAAATATCTTTATTGTTCATAACATGTCTCTATAGACCTTACTGAGACCATACATGAAGATATTTTATTTTATATTTTTTGTCACAACAAAAAAATTATACATTATTTACTTATTTTTAGAAAATACAATAAAAAAAATGTTGCTTGCTACTTTATTCAGCCCCCACAAGTTACTACATTGTGGAAATGCCTATTACTATGAAACAACTATAAATTGAAAGTTTTCTAGAAACAACATTTGTTTGTTTGTCCAATCTTCATTGCAGCTGAAGCTCTAGATTTTGCCACTGATTCTCAATTGGATAGGTCAGGGCTTTGACTGGGTCATTTTAACACATGGATATGTGTTTTCTTTAACCATGCCATTTTTATGATAAATATTTATTTAATTATGTAAGTATTATATCTATGTCTTGTCTAACAGTTTTTTTTTGTCTAAGATTGCCCTGTGTTTTGCTCCAACCTTCCCATCAACTAACTTTCTTCTTTCTAACTAGCCAAATCCTTGGTTTCCAGCTACATGCTAGCCTATCACTGGCAGTTAGAACACATCAGCACCATCTCGGCCTGGTTAGAAACAGGCTCTTGGATTTATAAAAATTCTGAAATCATGTTTAATTTTGCTTTCATTTTTTTGTTCTATCCACAATATGAATTAAGACAAAATATGAAAATGTTTATTGGTTATTCTAGTTTTCTATACTGTAGAACAAATGAGTAGTTAATTCAGTTAATCTGTAGAATGAAAAATTTGTGTTTTCCAGAATCTTGAAGAAAGTTGTTGGAACAAAGCAGCACATTTCTTTGACCTTCCAGACTTCCTGTCATGGAAAGCAACAGGCTCATTGCGTAGGTAAGATCATTTCTGTAAGTTGTTGTTTGTATCCATAACAACATACAATATATTGCAGAATGTTTATCTATTGCAGAAGGTTAACTATTGAACGCAAATGAAACATGTGCCCAATGCACATTACTATTAAGTATTGATGAATACAGTGAACATACACATAATGATTACTTTTATGTTTTACATGTATTATGTTTTATGATATGAACTTCTTTTGAAAAGGTCCTTGTGTACTTTGGTCTGTAAGTGGACATATTGCCCCCCCGAAGGATGGAATGACAGTTTTTGGACAGCTATTAAACTTAGTGATCTCTTGGAAAACAACTACTCCAAAATTGGTAAGAAGATACTATTTAACTGTTCAAACAATTGTTCCAAATCAGTTATCATGTATTCTTCCAGGTAATGTGACCTCCCCCCCTGGCAGTCCCCTGGGGCAGGGGCTGACAGCAGAGGCTGCTGCAGATTTGGGGTTAAATCCTGGAACTGCAGTTGGAGCGTCTCTTATTGATGCCCATGCTGGAGGATTAGGTACAAACAAATCACTAGCTATGATCAAACATTGTCTGAGTTCCTAGCCGTAAATTACTATTATCTTTTAAACATTGATTAATTATTGAAAAGTGAAGTTACCTTCAGAACCTCAGCTTGGGGCTTGGCCTGAAACTGGATCTTGAACATCTGCTTTTGTTCTGAGAGTTCAACTACACATGAACCTTCCCCTCTGGCCTCAGTTGTGACCCTTGCAGATCACACATTGTTGTATAAGTCAGATGCCAAAGAACACTGCACTTTCAGTTGTTGTAGATGGTGATGGACTTCTCTGACCCCTATATGTGGGGGCCTCAATTTCAAAACCGAAAATGTCACTCCTGCAGGCCACAAATGATTGCCTTCAAAGTATTGCCTGCTTTGATTTCAACTTCAGAGTAAAATGCTCAAAGCACATATGCAGATTTAATCCCAGAGTTTTTGTGAATCATTAACTATATGGAACTACATTAGATCATTGCATATGCAAAATGACAAATACTGTCTATAATATTTTTCCGGATAGGTGTTATAGGTGCAGATGTTGAAGGCTTTAACTTACCGTGTGAGCACCAACCTATCACTTCACGAATGGCTATGATCTGTGGAACATCAACCTGTCACATGGCGGTCAGTATTCACCCTCAGTAAAGGGTGTGCATTTGAATTTTTTGTTCTTATCTTTCAATGATGTGTTTGTATTTCAGATTAGTGACAAACCTCTGTTTGTGCCTGGGGTTTGGGGACCGTGTTTGTCTGCAATGGTTCCTGGCTTTTGGCTAAATGAAGGTGGACAGAGTGCAACAGGGAGACTGGTATTTAAAAAAAAAAAAAAAAACATATTTTGATGCATATTCTAAAGAATTGATTTGGAAGTATTGACATGTGCAATGATGCATGTTAAAGTCAATCCTTCATAACCGTAACCTTAACCCTAACCCCTAAACCCCTAACACTACTCTAACCCCCTACTCTGAACTTTGATCCTGGACTGTTAATAAATCAGAATGATTTTTTGTGTGTGTAAACTTGGTGATATAAGATTGTCTGAGATCCTTTGCGACTCACAAACTGTAGAAAATGGCTTTCTATGCTATCTTTATGGGTTCTTTGCCTTTAGATTGACCACATGGTGAAGGGCCATGCTGCTTACAACCAACTCCAAGAACAGGCAAAGCAAAGGTTGGTTACTTGGCTGATCTAAAAGATTTCTGCCAGTCATTTTAGGAACTTTTGTGCTTGATGTGCAATGAGTCTACGTATATAATGTTTCCACTTTCTGAGATTTCTGTCAAGAATGGTTGAGTTTTTTCACAATGATCTATTTTCGTACTTTATGTTGTGTTCTCGTTTCTGAAGGTGTCCTTTTGCTGGAGAGAACATTTACTCATACTTAAACAGTCATTTGAACACTATGACTGATCCCAGCTCTCCTGTTGACCTGCTCACCCCCTCTTTACATGTGTGGCCTGACTTTCATGGAAACAGGTCTCCACTGGCAGACCCAACATTAAAGGGAATGGTAAGTTTCTTATAAACACCAGTTTAAGTTAATATGTAAATGTTTAGAGATTCCTTCAGTGCAGTTGGCTGAAATGAGAGAAGTCCTTGTCTTGCTCAGGTTATAGGACTCACATGTTCCCAAACAGTTGAAGATTTGGCTTTGCTGTATCTGGCAACTGTACAAGCGCTGGCAGTAAGTAAGTTAACTGATGCAATTTTGTTAAAACAGCTGTCTTTATTAACCCCCTCCCCCTTTTGTATTTAGCTTGGCACATTACATATTCTGGAGGCGATGAAAGAGGCTGGTCACGACATCAAAACTATTTTCTTATGTGGTGGTCTTAGTAAAAATCCACTTTATGTTAAAGTCCACGCAAATGCAACAGGTATACAGAATATCACATTCTAACATAGCCATTAAATGAGATTGTATATTTTCATTATCTCTGATGTTAAGGGCTTCCTGTCGTGTTACCAGACCAGATGGAGGCAGTGCTGGTGGGGGCAGCAGTTCTCGGTGCCTGTGCATCTAAAGACTATAATTCAATACAGGTAAATGTGTTAATATCAAAGCAATAATAATAATAATATATAATAATAATAATCTTTATTTGTATAGCACTTTTAAAAACAATGTTTACAAAGCGCTGCACAGTCAGAATGATAAACAATAATAACATAATGCAAAGTCAAAATAATTAGATACATACAGATACAAACACAAGAAGGGAGACACAACAAAGACAGAGCAGACATTAAAATAAAGCATGAGAAGTTTAAAACTAGCAGTTAAAAGCTGTTTTATAAAAGTGGGTTTTAAGAAGTGATTTAAAAGAGGATACTGATGGTGCTAGCCTTATCTCCTCGGGCAGGTCGTTCCAAAGCCGAGGAGCCTGGACAGAGAAGGCTCGGTCACCTTTCGTCCGGAGCCTCGACCTTGGAACAGTCAACAGGGACCTGCCCGAGGATCTAAGGCTGCGGGGGGGCTCGTAGGGGGTTAAAAGTTCATAAATATAGCTGGGTGCCAGACCTAAACGAGCTTTAAAAGTAATCAGTAAAATCAATTCTAAAACGCACAGGGAGCCAGTGGAGGGACGCTAAAACAGGGGTGATGTGCTCCCTTCTGTTAAAACCAGTGAGAAGTCTGGCTGCTGCGTTCTGAACTAATAATGTGCCTCCAAAGGTAATTTGCCAGTCAAAGCAAAATATTGCTTTTCACACTATTCCCCCACACTATCCCTGTCCACTCAATACTGCCATCTGCTGATAGATTAAATATTGTAGGATCACAGTGAGTCCTAAATATTTAGTATAGTGGATTTTCACTATGTATGAACCCTCATTAGTTCCTGAACCTTTTGTGTAAATGCTTGTTGCTTAAATTGGCACACCCCTGTAATCCAATGCACTATATATAAGTGATTGTTATCTGGTGTAAGTTGCAGCTGCTGTACCGGCTTTAGCTATAACTTCTGCAGCCTGGTGTTTTGTCTGATCCGGGAGCTGGGATGTTTGGAGAGAAGAGGGGGACTGCTTTATTCTTACCCTCCAATCAGAAGCAATCATCTGCAGTTGTTGCTTCCATAACTGGGTCAGCGGGGGCCCATTCCTGACTGGTCCATGATTTATTAAAATAAAATAAATATGTTTTATTTATGTTTGTTTTAGGAGGCTATGTCAAAAATGGCTAAAGTGGGTCAAGTTGTCTGGCCTGATGATAAAGTAAAAAGGTGAGTTTTTTTGTTATCTCTTAAAATAAAGTAACCTACCACTAGACTACTGCTGTGTCTACTACTTGATATAATATGAAAATGTCAATTTAAAGCATGAATGTACTTTTTCTTTCTAATTGTATACGTGGACATAATGTTATGCACATAAACATTTTTGGATTGTTTTCCCCCTTTACATATTCCAGCTTCTACAAAAGGAAGTACAGCGTGTTTCTGCGCCTCGTTGACCACCAGAGGGAGTACCAGGCGCTCATGAATCCAAGATGACGTTGACCACATGGATCACATTGGAAATATTCATGACTGATTTGCCTCAATGCATTTACTTCAATATAAAGTCAAACTGAGTAGGGCAGTTGTAGTGTTATGATGATCTGAGGTGTAGAGGAGGCTGTAATCCCAACACCAAGATGGTTATATTAACATCTAAAAATTATTAGTATTGATTAAAATATATATCTAAAATGGAGATCCATGACAAAAAGTACTTCATGAAACAGAAAAATGTACAAGTTATTTAGTTGAATTTTGGGTTGTTTCTGTGATGTAATGACTCAACATTGTACGTTCCAAATAAAGAACCATTAAACTTTAACATATGCTGCTGATTTTTGTTTTTTCAATATGTATAAGTTTACATACAGACCAAATAATGATAATAATATCAAATATTTAGTAGATAATAATACATTCCCTTTGAATCATCTCGTCTTGCACAGTATCATATCAGTTGGCATCAGCTCAAAGACAAGATGCTCCTCAGGTCTTAAAACCCAAGAGGACACCAAATCCTCCACAGCTGAGGTAACGGCTAAAATAGATCACCAAGGTAGAATCACCAGAGAACTGTCCAAAGTAAACAAACGGTCAAATCACGAGAAGTTTTATTTGCAGTAAAACTAACAGAAAATATATTTTGTCATTGGAACCTGCATAAGATTCAAAATGTGAATGTTTCATTGTGGGGAAAGCACTTCTGAATAACTTTGCACTTTAGTAATGTACATTCACGAAATGTGGGATAATGTTGTACCCTTCATAGTGATCAGTTTGTGTTGGGGTTTGAGTGTAGTGCAGGTACTTCTTGCCTCTTTTGGGTCAATGCCAGCAGAAAACATGGAGGCTTCTTGTTCTGTAAGCAATACATGCAACACAATATACAAATCATTCTGTTCAAAAGTAAACATACAGTGAGAAAGTGACCAAATCATCACAAATCTTATTAATGTATTAATGACAGGGAAACAAAATAAGATCAGAAGTAAGTTCAATAGGGCACTGTCGGGATGGACATTTAATTTGGTATTAAGTGGTATTTACCCATAATTATGATATTGTAAAACTTTGGTACATTCTCATGTCCAAAAAGCTGTTGTTGCCAAAGGTGTTTAGTTATGTCACAAGAGAAGAACATAAATATAGTGGTTACTTCTTTCCATCTCCTTTTATGGCTATCTTAAAGTTGTGATCAACCCATTATTATAAAAACAAATAGTGTGTGTATCTTTAACCCAGGCTGAGATCAGCTGGAGTAGCTACCAGCCTGCTTGGTGTGAGTGTGAGGTCCACCAAACTCATCAAAGTTGCATCCTTTTGAAGCTGGGTGGAAAATGGAGATTTTTTTTTTTTCTGGACCAATGACATGATATAGCTTTAACGAATGGCAAAGTGTTCCCTCACACATGGTGCAGTCAGTGGCATGTCTTTGTCTCATCTGGGTCCAGCATGCCCACAGCCCCTGTCAGATCTCATTTACTGTCCGCAGTGATGGGGAAGGGCAGCAGGACGCAAGATGACTCTTCACTACTGTCAGACAGAATATCTTACACAGCAGTGTTTCTCAAACTGTGGTGCAAGAGCTGAGTACAGTGCATTCCATTTCTATAAGCACCTTGTGTACATGTTTTCCAGTTGTACATGTCCCATCATCAGCAGTCCCCAAGAGTGGAAACACCCAAGCTCTGGTGCAAAAAGAGACTGCCCCTTTTCGTACAGCTCACATGATCCTGATTTTGACGGTTCTTTTGGTGAACCCACTGCTTTTATGACTAAGCTCAGCTCTGTTTCACACTGCAGGCAGGGTCCATCTGTACACACACCAGGGACATATGTGATCATGCCAAAGGCCAACAGCTAAACAGGTTGTGTGTGTAAAATGATGAGTCTTTGATTATTCCCCAAATTGGCAGACCAAAACCTCTACTGGGCTCATTATTATTTGGTTCAAAATAATTTTTCACTTGAAGGAAAATACATTCTCAGCCTGGGGTCCAGAATGATAACCATATTGTTATAAATGCTCCCAATAGTTTGGATTATTCTTGGAAAAGAATGAATTAATTCAAGTAGGCTGCAAAGGGTTTGTAATGAGGCTATACCTATATTCTCAAACCTGCGCTGTTGAAAAGCAAATTCACAAATTCTTTGCGATAGTCAATGGTGCAAACATATGATTCTCATTTTATAGTATTAATTATTTATGAAATGGGAGAATCAATAAATAGTATTCTCTAGTAAGTTCTATTTTCTAATGTTATGCATTATTATTTATTCGATGTGACTTTTGGCCACGTGACCAGACCAGTCAGAGCGCAACTTATTTTGCAACTTTCCCATCAGGGTCAAAAAGGATTAAAGTGTTCCTGTCAGCAGCCGGCCTCAGGACTTCACTTGATACAATGTCCAGCTCGGGGTTCAGACGCAGCAGTTGTCGCGGAGGCTCTTGTGGCGCTCGAACCCCAGCAGAGGCCCACAGACGCAGAAGCTCCAGCTGCTTTCCCCCAGCACCGCAGGCGGACCACTTCAGCCTCAACCAGCCCCTCGTCTCCATCGCTCTGCGCCTCTTCTTGGCTGTGGACCTGTGGCTGTCCAAGCGCCTCGGTGTGTGCTCGTGTGAAGAGGCTGCATGGGGGAGCATCCGGCCCCTGGTGCGGCTGGTGGAGTTCTCCGGACACGCAGCCCCTTGGCTCTTTGGCGCCGTGTACTCGCTCCTGCTTGGGGACTCCGCAGAGGAGAAGGAGATCATGCTCAACCTTACCCTGGGTGAGGGGTACTATCCGGCTAAGCTTTCTTTAATAGGCTGATCTAAATTATGCATCAAAAGTTAAATGTAGTCCTAGCTTTTGTGTAATATCCTGCACATCCCGCAATAACTGAAGGCCAGGGCCCATATCTTCACTTTTGTCACGAGTCCAAAAGTTTACTCATTGGCTGATACCTGTAAATCTTATTTGAATGTATTCATTATTTATTTTGAATACTCCAATTGTATTTGGAATGTGATTGTGTGTCTCTGTCCCCATGACCGAAAAAAGATCAGCTATGGAAAGTTTTTCCACTGTCAGGCCACAGCTGAGAGATCTGATGGTCATACACGTGACTTTTGAGCTTTTTCGGTACCACAGATCATCATTTCTCCCTGACGCTCATCTACAATAATACAATACATCTTAATGCATTGTCCTGACACTGACAGTCAGAGATCAATATGGTCCTGTTTTACTTTTTAGAAGTCATTGGACTTTGGGTTAGTATTTTGAAATATGATATATAATGAAGAAACAACATTTGACGGTCATGTGTACCTTATACAGTTAGAGAGGTGGGTATCCTTAAATAAAATGGGGCCGACAACATTTGACCTATACATGACCATGAAGATGATCTCAAGGTCAAAACAAGCTGTCTTTGGAATGTCTTTATTTTGTCCTTGAAGAGCATCTCATTGATCATATGCATTCACAATTCTGTCTTTTATGTATTCCATTTTGAACAAAAATTACACTTCAAGTAATATCGACTAACACATCCTAATTATTCATGTTTTTTTCTTATTTACAGCATTACTTCTAGACCTAATGATGGTCAGACTTCTGAAAAAGATGGTTAGACGACGAATGCCTGTTCAAAACCGATCGGACATCTTGTCTACCTTTTTTGTAGAGAAGTATTCCTTCCCCTCAGGCCATGCCACACGGGCTGCCTTGTGCGCTCGCTTCCTGATGGCCCAGCTGGTGGACACTTACTCAATGCGGGTGCTGGTCCTAGGATGGGCCTCTCTGGTCAGTCTGTCCCGACTGCTTCTGGCCAGACATTATGTGACTGACGTGGGATTCGGCCTGGCCATGGGCTACTGCCAGTATGGACTCGTGGAGCGTCTGTGGGTGTCCTGGGACTGTCTGCAGGACGTCCTGCTGCTCAAAGTGAGGGAGAGCATTGCCAGGGCCTACAGCCAACTGTGGAGCCTAGACTGGGGTCTGTAGTTGTCTGAGTGACATCAGGAACAGTCATTTTAACTCTTTAGGACACACTATATTTCACTCCAAGGATTCTCTTAACAAAGTTTCTTTGAGGAGAACCTAGAGGTTTACACGCCGTCCATTTGTCACAGACAGGATCAGTCTGTCCATCTCAGGTTTCTACCTCTGATTGTCCACCACATATCTTCCATGCAGAACGTATTGTTGTGTGCCTCCTTCTATACTGTTTGAATGTGGACTTTTTAAACATTTGAAATTATACTTTGTGTCTGAAATATGCTTCATCTGAGATGTATGTGATTATGGCTAGTGTTCAACCTTAATCAAACAATATTTTTCCCTAGAATTTGTATAGTTTTTTAAATATATTAGAATTATGTTTTGTAATTAAAAAAACAAAATCCAGATTGTTCATGTTTTTATTGAGTAATTATAAAAGAAAAAAAATACATGTTTCAAAAGATACATCATTTGTGTTTCAATATTCACTGTTCTACCACTGAATTATTCCTTTACTTAAGAATATATATTCATGTGAATCAATATGTATGCATACAATATTATGTAATTAAGTCCTTGGGCGGTTGTTGAAGCCTAGCTGGTGTCCTGGTCAGGTCTGTCCAGAAGCCTGAGGTCATAGGTCACCATGTTGAAGTTATCCCAGGCAAAGAGCTTCCTCAGGGCATGGTTATAGTCCATCATGCTGTTGTACCTGTACTTGTTTTTGAAGGGAATGGCGATTGCCTTACCCGAGTTGGTGGCTGTGTCAAACATGTAGTTGATGGTGGTGATTGGTGCAGTGTAGCTGGCCACGGTGTACAGACGGCCACAGATCATGAATGCATTTGCGACTGTGTTTTTCCTGATGTTGGTCTCCCAGCTCTCTCTCACCTCCAAACTCTCTGGATCCAGCTTAGAAATCACTATGGCGCCTTTTGCCTTGTCTGTGCTGTAGATCGCCCACAGTCCCTGCTCATCTACTGCCAAGTCAATGTCAGTTCGCCCCCCCCAGGAGTATGGGTGCTGCCCATGGAAGCTGGCATGGGGCAAGTCCTGTTGGGTCACTGTACTCTCTGATGTCAAGTCGTAGCGGATGATAGTTCTGCTCTGTCTGCGCTGATAGTACAAAAAACCTCTATAAACTGTGGCCCCAGTGCTCTCCACAGGCTCGGGCAGCATGAGGACCTTCATTGGGAACCCGCGAGAGAACTGATGCATGTCTTCATATGCAAAGAGTTGGCGAATGTCTTTCCCCACAGCATCGATTCTCCACACTGTGTTGTTGCTGTATAGGGCTCCCTGTGGCTCTGGATCCTGCAGCCACACGCCATACTTCCCTGTGATGCTTTCTGCTCTCTTGTGGGACATAGGCTCTCCAACTATCACAAGCTCTCCACAGCCTGAACAAGGTAAAACAGCATGACATTTTAAGTTACGTTAGTTAGGTTTGTAACTGTTTGCTGAGTAGACACATTTGTAGCCCATCCTCTGTAAACCTTAATTCTATCTCCTTGTAAACCAGTGCTGTTTGTGTGTTAATTAACATTTCTCGACAAATAAATGTGTTAAAGTATACATACAATTGCAAAAAGACATTTAAGTTGATGCGAAATCCCCCGACCTAGAGATCAAGGCCCCCCACAAAATAATCAATCCCTTTAAAACATTCCTCTTGCTGTCTGCTGTATAGTATACCTGGCAAAGCAATGATTTTTTTTATTGAGACAAGAAAGAGGAAGACCATACAATGGTTACATATTACAACTTTAAATAAATGTTTTTTCTTATTTTGTTACTTTTTCGCAGCCAAAAAGGCGTAATGATGTTGGTTGCAAGATTATCATGACTGTGCTCTTAATATGCACCTTTATTGATCGTTTGGTTTCTCTCTGGTAAGAGATGTGATGCAGGAACCTCTGTCACCTCTGCCTTCATCTCCTGGTATGCATTTGTGCTCAAACTATTTTCAGAACCTGGAAAAAGAAGCATAAACAGGCATCGATTAGCACATACTTAGCTGCACAAGAAGAGTTGTAAATTCCTATACCTTTTCCCTACAAACGGTGAATTGCAACTTGACCCGTTAACCCCTGGAGACTTTACTAACCTACTTAACCAATGCAAAGGCAAGCTATCTTTACACAGCCAAACCACAGGTCCAACTTGGACTGTTGAGCATAACTACTATTAGTAAGAATTACATATTTCAAATACTATTGACCTCAAAACCACTTTTTGCCTGAATATGATTCATATTTGTTCACACAACAAAAATATTGGCCTCAAAAGACTACATACCTTAAAAATGTATTATTTTTGTTTGTCCAAACAGAAAAAAGCCTATAAAAAGAATGTTCTGTGGACAGATCACAACATGCTGCACATGATCGTTATCGTTACACGCATGTGAAAACAAGTAGAAGCAAACTGATTTAGGATCAAAGAACTTGATAGATGGATTGTATTACAGATTTCAATATTTAAAAGTTAGCTACAGTACCTTTAAGTAAATTTGCTTCTGCTTTTTCATACTTGTTTGTTGTAAAACAAAATATACTGCTTCAGCTTTCACAAACTTGCCTTTTGTTGAGTACAAGTGCCATGGTCTTACCAGAGTTTAGTGTTTTTCTGTCGTCCTGCTGGCTCCCTCCAGGGCTGTGCTGACACGGCTTCAGTCTGAGAGCCTCTACCTCCAGGCTGGTCTTGGACAGTCGCCTCTGCAGCTCCTGGATCTGCTTTGTGAGTCGGTCCCTTTCCTGTTGCAGCAGGTCCCTCTCCCCCGTCACCTGGGTGTAAGCCTCCTGAAGACTCTCCTCATTGGACTCATTTGTGCCTCCAACAAGTCGGCTAACCAGTGCTTCCAAAAGGGTGAGTCGGGACAGGAGCCCATCTCTCTCTGTCAAAGCACCAGGGCAGCTTCCTGACCCATCTGTCTTGGACAATGTGAAGATGTACTGACAATGTTCCTCATTTTCCTCACTAGGAGTCAGCAATCCTTTGTTTTCAGCATAGTTCTGGCTAAAGAATGCAAAGCTGCATATAATATATGCTTGAAACCACATTTTTATGTATTTAATCTAATCTTGACTTCAGTTGGAAGAGCAGATCCAAATCCTCACTGACTTGTAAGTTGGTTATTTATACAGCGAAACGTCTTGGAGGTGGGAGGGGGTCCGAAGAGAAGAGGGAGTATATAACCTATAGGGGAGTGTGGTGTATTGTGTTTGTGTTCTATGGTAAGTATAAAAACAGTAAAAGTACAGACATTTTTCATTCAGCAGTTACCGCATTTTTGTAAGTTGTTTTGGATGAGGAGCGACTCCTAATCTGTCTGTCAGCTGTGGCGCTGTTTACTTGTCTTCAATTCACAGTAACTGTCATGTCATTAAGTGTAGTCCACTTTATGGCTTGGCTCCAGGGTGTTGTGGGCAGTGTTGTAAGTCATTAGGAGTAATACAGACCTGCACCTTACGCCCCATCTCTGAGGCACAGGAATGTCTGGGATGCCACAAGTCGTCAGTCTGGAGAGAAGACTGTCGTAGGCTGTCATTACTGCCCAGGCATATGTCTTGGACACGCAAGAGAAATTAGACATAACAGGTTAAAGACAACATTGCTTTGCTTTGTAGTTAAGTGAACAATTGCTTTATTTATCATATGATGATGTTATTATTTATAGCTAGATAATAAATGCATTCTATTTAATTCAATTTATTCTGGTATATCCCTTAATCACAACCGTAGTTATCTCAGAGGTCTTAAAAAACCCGCAGAAATTGCCAACACAGATCAGTTCAAACACAAAGAATAGAGAACACATGATAGATATTGGTCCCAAGGAAGTTGACCAATGTCCATAAGTGATGATAAATGTCCATAAATGTTGATGAATGTCCTGGGTCATCACTACAGTGCTTCTTGTTAGACCACTAACAGCCTAAAAGACAACTATAAAACCCAGTGGGAATGAAGTGAGAAACCTCAGGGAGAACCAGTTTGAAATGGTTCATACGTACAAATACTTTGGTATCGTGCTTGATGACAGCCGTACTTTCAAACCCCATATTCAGAATCTTACAAAGAAGCTCAAACTTAGATTGGGCTTCTTTTTCAGAAATAAATGTTGTTTCTCTTTTAATGTGAAAAAGCGGCTTGTTACTGCAACATTTTTAACTATTTTAGATTAAGGAGACCTGTTATACAGTAACTGTTTTATAATCTGTAATGTATGTAACTGTATGTAATTTGTAATTTGTCCAGGATTCCCTTGAAAAATAAGTTCTTAATCTCAATGGGACTTTCCTGGTTAAATAAAGGTGAAATGAAATGAAAAAAAAAAGTTTCTCAAATGAAACACTCGCTGCTCCAGCATTCAACCTGCGTTGTACTTTGATAAGTAAGAATAAAATGTTTCTCTGTATGTAGTTGGATTAACACAGGAGAGAGTAATTAGACAGTAATTTCAAAATGATCTGTGAAAGGCGTTTAGTAATCTTTATGAATAAAGATTACTTAATTATTTACAATACATCACTTTTGACTTCCTGAGGTGATACACTGAAGCTTAACTTCAACTTATAAGGGGCAAACTGTCTGCAATGTTGCTTATGTTCAAATCGTTTCTACGAACTATTTATGGATCTTGGGAGGATCTTGGCTGTGTTTTCACAGTAGGTGTGTTTTTGCAATATCTGTAAAAGTATCATCTCTTCTCCCAAAGCTCCTAAACTCTTCTGCAGACCTCTCACTTTTACCACTTTGGAATGCAGAACTATAATGCCTTGGAGGTGGGGACATTCATCTTTGTTCTGTTATGTTGTGTGGCGCCTATAATAATAATAATAATAATAACAATATGAATAATGCATCATTTTTATGTAGTGCTTTTTTGGACACTCAAAGACGCTTCATATGTCATATGCTCACAATCAAAGGTAAATGGGACAAAACATGCATCAAAACATTCAAAGGTTGTTGGTCCTGCCCATATCAAAGATTTTGATATGCTCAAAATCTTTGCAAAGTGACATGCTTCTCTTTTAGACAGTGTGGACTTAATGGTATGGGACAAACACATTCCACCCCAGTTTAGTCACAGGCTGTTGACAAATTAGAAAATATTGTCCCCTGGCTACATTTAAAACAAAAAAACAATACAAATATGTGTTAATGGAATGTCTTTTTGTGATAATATGTATATTCCAACGTTACAGACCATACCACTTATTGCATCACAAGTTTAGAGACTTGAATTATGAGATGGGGCCAGACTTCTCCTAATAACAGTTTTACTATTGTGGCTGCTGATTTGCTCCTTGTTTTACAAGCATCTGGAAAGGGAAACATATTTCAAGCATTTATTGTCATTTTCGCAGAGCTGAGAGGGTAGCACTCAAGCAAGAAGTTCACAAGTTTGATCCTGTGGTGGCCCAGGCCTTTCTGTTTGGAGTTTGCAAGCTATGTCGTGATGGGTTTCTGCTGGGTGCTCTGGTTTCCCCCACTCCCCAAAACATGCACCGTTGAATCCTTCTGGTCATTAAGCCAAATATCAGCATCTCGATATGGGTCCCTGCGCACCTTGCCTGCTTAGTGGTATTGAAGGATGGGTTAAATGCATAGGAAACATTCTAATGTGGTGTTAATCGCCGTAAAAAATAGTGTAATAATAATTAAATAAGAACACAATTTGAATAGAGTAAAGTCATGTTCTATTTTTATGTTTTATGTAATATACATTATTTTATAAAGGACACAGAAAATCTCATGTTTTCTCACAGGCCACCAACACAAACCTATTACATTACATAAGAGGCATTTCATTAATGCACGTATTGTTGTTATTATCATAGAAAGCCTCAGGCAAAAGCACCGAGTTTCAGCGCCATCTAGTGCCTGTCCCCGCCACTGCGCTGTGCAGGCCTGACCGTGATGAACAGGCCCAATCCGAACTTCATCGATTTCCTTCTGTCAGTCAAACGGGTCTCCCACCCACAATGTTATCATCACAATTGCCCTGCCATAGTGGCGGGGAGGCTGCAGAAGAACTATTGCTTCGCTATCAGTGTTGGAAGGTACAATTGTAAAGTGAAGTTATTTTTACTATAGTATATCCTGTTTGTAGGGAATTATGAAGAAGTAAACAGACCCCTAAAACCGTAACAAACATGTATTATATTGCTCTAAAATCTCACCCACCCACGCTCAAGCACACGCACATCTGACGCCTATGACAATGGGATGCGCTGGTTTCATTGTGAACTAATCAAAGGGCTGTCAGCGCGTCGATGGAATGACAGATTTATGTTGGGCACAGGGCTGAGTGCGGGGAACATGTCCACCTCTTGTGTTGCAGCGCTGCGCCGTGCCGCATGACTCACGAGCGGCAGAAATGGCACGGATGTAAACAGGGGCGGGAGCTCACAGGCCCTGGACCCGCGCTCCAACCACGACGCACGCTTCTCTGAGTCCACTTGATGTGCGTCCTTGTCATTGGCTGCACGCACTGCCTTTACGCTGACGTAGGGGAGGTGCAGCCTCGCAATTACACCGCGGAAAGGAGGAGAGAGGGAGAAAAAAATGATTAATCTGTCAAACGCAAATTTGTGTCGCGAATAGGAGCTCACTGACATTCAACCGACCGCGATCCGTATTGTATAAACACGAAGCCCACATTAGCACCGGGAGCTACCGTCGGCTGTGTGGGACTGTCTTTGCCACTTGTCTTTGGTCTGTCGTCGTTTCAGCACTGGACAGCGACCAGGACACAGCAAACAACGAGGATCTCCTGAGGCGAGGTAACACAAGTCAACCTGCAGCTTAGCAATGCATCCACCAGCTCTAGACGAAGCACGTCCACATCTGCAATTTCATCTTTTTTCGTGCTTGCACCGCTTTTCTGCATTCATTATCTGACATACATCATTATTCACGGCGCTTTGGCAGTAAAGCTGTCCTTATGCATTGCCCTTGACACTTGCAGTACATTTGGCAAGGTTTTCTGTTTCTGTGTATGCAAGAGACGGCCTGGTGTTGGTGGTTTGCAACTGCGCAATTGTCTGAATATCCTGTTTGTTGTGTTCTCCCGGTCTCATCACCTTGTCCCTGCTTCCTCCTGTTACAGTCCGTGCGAGCCTCGCTTTGGCCCGGGGCAGTGCGCGGCTAGATGACTTCACTACATCAACAAGCACCGCGGTATCCTGGACTAATATAGCAGCGCCACATCCCCTCTTTCCCACCTCGTCCTCCTCCTGCCCGTGTCTGCTGTGTCTCCATTCGCTGGTCCCCGGGTCCGGATACTAAAGGCACCATGGGAAACCGTGGCATGGAGGACCTCATCCCGCTGGTCAACAAACTGCAGGATGCCTTCAGCTCCATTGGACAAGCGTGCAACCTCGACCTCCCACAGATCGCTGTGGTGGGAGGCCAGAGCGCAGGAAAAAGCTCCGTCCTGGAGAACTTTGTGGGCAGGTAAAAATGACCACCAGAAATAGGATAATCCTCTCTCCTTGACGATGACATAAGAGGCCTATGAGGCCAAGCTCTCAGCCCAGAGTTCAAAGCATCTTTCATGAGCTTTAGTGTAACAAGTACTCATGCTGGTCCCACCTGGCGCTGCTGTTTGCAGGTTACATCTGCATGAGGGAACCTGTACCAAAACACAATTACATACACTCGTCCTATCCTCGATGAATGTTGGAAATGATGATTCAGTTTCAATTTAATTGATTAATATTGCATTCTGACTTCTTCCATGAAAAGCTATATGCAGAACCTGTATAAGAGTTCTGTATTTGGAGTAGCCTCTAATAATGTGAATAATGTTGCACCCATTTGCATGATATTTTAGCGATACATTGCTGGGTAGGATTAAGAAAACTTTAATAAAGGACATACTTGCATGCTCAACTTAAAGCCTACTGAAATTGCATAGTCAAATACCACAATGTATTCCTTTAGGTTTTGAAAAGTAACTCAAAATGAGATTTTGAATTTGTATTCGCTGTACTCCCCAACACTGTTCATGAGGACTATACATATTCCATCTCTTTATTTAGACTTTAGGTCTAATAGGTAATGTTTATGATGGGATATAAAGGCCAGTTGGCTCAAATATATAAAGTCGGCAAAGAAACATAAAACACAATAAAATTTTACAAATCATGCTTATGCAAAGAAATATGCGGACATTTAACATGTTCATGTGGCTTTGAGTTATAGCTTTCCAACTAATATTAATTTTGTAGTAGCCCATTCTTAGTTAACTTTCCAATAGGTGATTTGGAATGAGCAGGGCCCATGTGCTCCTGTGCTGAAAGACGGAGACATTGATTTAGTTTTGTTCTGGCCGTCATTGTGATTTCCCTTGCTGACTAATGGTCCTTCTGTCTGGGATTACCTTTGCACTGTGCTGAATGTTCAAGTGGTCAGGTCCTTTCTCTACACCCATGTCCAGCATGGGGGGTTGTTGAAGCTCATGTCTTTTTAGCTTTTCTTGTCAAACAAGTATGGATCAGATGTCCACTACTAAACTGTTAAGCTCATGTCAATGAGCTCATGAAATGAAAAAGGAACCCAAAATGCTGGAAAATAAAGTGTAATTTGATAAAATAAATCCAAATTTACACAAAATTACAGAACTGAAAACAAGACCGAAACAAACGTGGTGGAGACAATAGACGGACAACAAGTGGGGCAAGCACAGGGAATAAATACACACAGATGAATGACATTAGGGCGGGGCAAACGATCAATAGGACAGACAGGAAGCATACTCAAAACTACAAGAGAACAAATGTATAGCAAAATAAAACCAGGTAAAAATTATCCAAAAGTCCACATCATGACACTCCACCAACATTAGCTTATTTAGTAGACATGTTCATCATCGGGTCACTGTTTTAGTCTCCTGCTGTTAATTAGCTGAGCATGCTTAAAGGAGTACACAAACATTGTTAGAATATTTGAGATGTTTTGTTTCTGTGGACTTGAGCCTAATGAGACTTTTTCTGTACAGGGACTTCTTGCCCCGTGGATCTGGCATTGTCACCCGCAGGCCTCTGGTGCTGCAGCTTATCAGCGCGACTGCAGGTGGGTGCTGCCAAAGTCATGCACACATATTCTCTCCCTTCTCAGTGTGCGTCATCCTTTTCCTGGATTTTCCTCTGCACAGACAGTCAGATGAGCTGCTAATCTGTGTCCCGTATTGCTCTTTTCAGAATGGGCCGAGTTTCTTCACTGTAAAGGGAAAAAGTTCACAGACTTTGATGAGGTCCGCCAAGAAATCGAGGCCGAAACGGACCGTGTCACAGGAGCCAACAAAGGCATCTCTCCAGTTCCCATCAATCTAAGAGTCTACTCCCCTCACGGTACAGCTCTGATTTTGAAATTAAGACTTGATATTGAGATGATGTTTACATTGATTTAGACATTAAAGAAAATAAAATAAAACCATATTTCAATGTAGATGAAACAGAGTTTGTTATATACGTACCACAGTCAAATCAACATTGTTTCATGCCCACTAAATGTGGAAAAGTTTAATTTGAACAACATCTGATCTCTCCCATTCTCACACCTTTAGTCCTGAACCTGACTCTGATCGATCTGCCGGGGATCACTAAGGTCCCAGTGGGAGACCAGCCGGCCGACATCGAGCAGCAGATCCGGGACATGATCATGCAGTTCATCTGCAGAGAGAGCTGCCTCATTTTAGCCGTGACCCCTGCAAACACTGACCTGGCCAACTCCGATGCCCTCAAACTATCCAAGGATGTAGATCCACAGGGTAGGATCCAAATAAACCTCCTACTTTTTCTGTTGTAAATGGATCAGTGAAGACTATTTTGGTGGTTTTACAGTTCCTCCACAAATATAGCATTTTGGTGGATGAACCATTATAGGTCCAGGTTACTGAATCGCCCCAACCAAGTGTGAAACACGCCATTTACATATCCAAAGATGACCGTGGTTAACTACCAGATCATTGAATGCTCTTTGTTAAGGTGTTCTATAATGCATGGTTCATAGTCTGGTAGACATGGTTTTCAAAGCAGGCTTCATTAATGTGTTTCCTTGTGCAAGAAAATACTTGTTAGACCATGCACACACAAACCCACCCACACACACGCACACATACACATGCACACACAAACAAGCACACAAGCCCATGCCCACACATGCACCCACACCCACACATGCGCATACGCACGCACGCACACACACACACACACACACACACACACATACACGTTTTTGTTACCTGGTGGGTCCCTTTGACAGGGCCGTTCAGAATGGGACCCATAGACATAATCTTTTTTTACCAAGACTTTAAGTAATACAAAACAGTCAATAGAAACCAAACAACTATTTTAAAGGAATTTTATTTTAGATTTTGTTTTCGAATTGCAGTGATTCTATTTTTGACATAGAATTTAATGCCACTCCATGTCCGATGTCTAAGGTCATCTGGTGAGGCATTAATGCAGGCCAGGCAGTGAGACTTCCCAGGGACCTTTCCAGTCTGTATGAAAGGTGTCATGGTCTTCTCCACAGCCTTCACCTCAGATGCAGACCATGGCTTTCTTACACGTTCTAGGGAGAGAAATAAAAATATATTAGCAATATACACTCCCAGGGTGAGGACCAAGCAGCCTGGCTGTAATCCCCCACCTGGTACACTTACCAGAAGGGGCACTGCCACTACCATGGGGTGCATCTGGATGAATGGTTGAAGGTTCTCCGCTTGAAGTTTCTTTTAGCCCGTCCGTTTGTGAGAGGATCTCTACTGCTCTCCCTGTCGCACAGAAAATAAAAATACAAGTGGCCTTTAGGGGAAAAAAATCATACATATTTTAATAATATCAAGAATTACCTTCAGGCTCAATTTGTATCTGGTCGAGGCTCTTTCCTTCGAATTCCGTCACTCTTCCCTGCTCCATGGCCATCAACACTTTGCTGATTTTGGCCAGCTCCAGTGTCCCCTCTGGTAGTCTGTAATATTGCCTGTGGATGCGAATGTCATGGCCGAGGAAGTTGGCAAGTATGTCCATCTCATTCTCTTTCATATTGAGAACTGTAGACATAGTAGCTATGTGCTTTCTAAGTTTGGTTGAGGATAGCATCTCTGGATGCACCGCACCACATTCTTTGGCTACCTGGCGTAGGGAGTCTGATCCCCTGATGTGGGTGTCTGCGCCCGGGCGGGAAAAGAAGTATGGGTTATGGTCAGAGATGGAACAGGCCCTTCTGTTCTCCACCAGCACCTCCATCGAAGCAATCATTTCAGGAGTCAAAAGAACCGGCACTTTCCGACTTCTTTTCCCTTTAATTTCAATGCGTTGAAAATGCTGACACAGCTTTTTCTCAAGTTGGGACAGTCCCAGAGCAATGTCAGAATGGATCCCAGTCTTACTTCTTAAGGTAAAGGCTGTCAGTGGCATCTTTGAAACCTCACCTTCCCTTCTTCGATTGAAAATGATGACCTCACAAAGAGTCAAAACTGCCAGTTTAGACCAATGCTTAGACGTTGGCTCACTTATTAGGGTTTGCACATATTCAGGTCGACATACCTCAATATGTGCATGCATGGCTCTAACGTCCTCAGTCAGAGGGAGCAGGTCCGGAGTGTTCCACTTGGCTTGCCGGAGGGTCTGTAGGGCAGCAGAAGAAACACAGACGTCCCACCTCTTCTCAAAAAGCAGCCGGCTTCGTTGGAGGTTTTTAATAAATAGTTCATCAACACAATGCTCCATTTTTGAGTCACATTCAAGAATATCTGCTAGCTTTCTGAGGCTATGGCCGAGTTTGAGGGCCAAGGATGGAGTCTTGTATTGATTTGTTTCCTCATCATATCCAGCCACAGACCTGACTGCATCAATCACATGGTTAAAGTTGGAAGGAATAAAGAAATCCTTAATTGTTTTCAGTTTCCCTGCGGTTTTTGCTTCGTTAATTAACCTACCGACTTCTCTCATTTTCTGCCTAATGTAATCATGCTTTGTCTTATCATGCCCGTGTTTTAAGTACAGGTGCTCTCCGAGTCTCAGAATCCCCTTTTCTGCTTTGACAACACCCGTGACCTCATCCTGATGCATTGCCGAAATTAAAGACCACAGCTTTTTGCTGATGCCCTCCGGTACAGGCTGGGCTAGGGAGCAGAGGGACTGGACCCTACTTCTACCTGGTTTAGCCTGGGCATCTTTCTGTGAAAGCCGGCACCTGGCCACATGCCTCCACAGCGACTTTCGCTTAAGCAATGCCCCACAGTCTATACAGTGCAAAAACTCACTGGATTTAACTGGGCAATTTGGCTGTTTAGCTGGGACTAAAGTTCCAATGCCGGCCTTTAAAACCTCAAAATTGTGCTCACGGTTTCCACTATTCCTGATCAAATCAAACTGAAGTTTACGTGCTTTAGATTTCACAGGTAGAGCCAATGCTCTGGCTACGTCACTTTCATTTCCATGTTTTCTAGTCAAATGACGGGACATTTTGTGGCAGGACATTGAACAGTAGAGGCAGAAGTGTCTCTTGCTGTATACTCGCCCCCCATTTTTCTTCTTTTGCAGCTGCATGATAACAATCTTATTTGCCTTTGGTTCGTCACTTTCCGAGTCTTGAAGAAAAGTGTTTTTGATTTTTCTTTTTCCATACTTTTTTACAGGTTTCTTCTTGACAGTTAAATCGTCAGAATCTGAGTCGACTTCATCAATTAGGGACTCTTGACTAAGCTGCACAAACAACAAATAATTTGTAATCATTCTATATAACAATTTGAAGTCATGACTTGTAGTCAGCACTTACCAGTGGTTTGTAAGCGTGCGCTTCAGTGTGCTCCTCCATGATTTCTTGCAGCCTAATGAACCACACACTTGCACCTTTTTCTAGCCTGACACCTGATTTCCTCTGTTGTGCTGCTCCATGATTGGCTCCAGCCTGCTGGACTGAAATTGCCCCAGTGTGCCCCTCCTTGATATCCCGCAACCCACCACCAGGGTTCCGACACATAACACACTTTTTTCAGGAAAGTAAACCTCCAGGGGTCCTTTCCATATTTTTACAGAGACTGCATAAGGACCGTTAGAAAAGCATTACCCATTGATTATTAAGCTTGGACCAGTGGGGTCCGGTCGCGCATGGGTGTGCTTCGACATAGACCGGGGTTAGGTGGGGGCCACGGGTGGGGGGACCGGGCGGCGGGGAGACGCGCGGGCGGGGGCCGGGGAGGGGGCGGGGGAGGGGGCGGCACCCCCGGATGGGGGGGGCGGGGGCCGCGGCGGCGGCCCGTGGAAACGGGGCACCGGAAGGGAGCGACGGGGGAGAGTGGGTGGGACGCCCGGACGGAGTTGTCGGGGACGGGAGGCGCCCTCGGGGAGCTTCATGAGGGAGGGGGTAATGCAAGGGGAGAACGTGGTAAGAGGGGGTGGCCGGTAATGGGGGAGAGTGGGGGCCGGGGGGGGGCCCCCTAAACGAGACTGAGGAGGGCGCGGCGGACGGGGGGGGTGCCCAACGCTGGAGGGTCTTCAAGTAGTGGGCCCGGGGGCCAGGCCGGGGGCCTGCCGGGCGGCGGGGCGGGTGGGTCCCGCGTTCCAGCGACAAGTGCGGATCTGTGCCCACAGGGGGGGGGCCCTGGCACCACGGCGGTGGCATGTGGCACGCGGTGGGCCGGTGGGGACGTAGGTGCTGGGGGGCAACAGCAGGGGGGGGGCGTGCGGCGGGTACCCCGGCGGCGCAGGGAGCCCTGCCGGGTGAGGCTCGGGGTCGCCGTCGGGGGGGACGGGGGGGCGGGGGGCGCTGCGTGCCCGGGCTTGTCGTTGCGGAGAGCCGGGCAGACGGGTTGCTGGGGGGGGCAGGAGCATGCGTCGGGGATTAACCGTGGTGGGGCAGCGCGGTCGCGGGCCGTGTCGCGGCCGGGTTCGGCGCGGGGATGAGGGCGCTTCGCGTTGCTAGGGGGAGTGCAAGGGGGGTGAGGGGGACCCTGGGGCGCGCGGGGCGGGGGGGGGGTCCCCGGGAGCGAGCGGGGGGGCGGCCCGCGGGGAGACGGTGGCGTCGGGGGGCGGGGGCGGGGGGGCGCGGGAGCCGGCGGAGCCCGGCGGGGAGGGCCGGTGGCGGCGGGGATGGGGCACTCAGTGGGGGCGCGGCGAGGTCGGGCCCGGGGGGGGGCGCGGGGGGTCGGCCGGCGCGCAAGAGGCGAGGCCACGCGGGGGTGGCGGGGGGAGGACGCCACCTCGGGGCGGGGGGCGGGCGGCGCGGCGGGTGCGGGGTTGAAACGGGAACGCGGCGTCGAGGGCCATGCACCGGGAGCGGCGCCGGCCGCTGCCCGCCCCGGGGGTGGGCCGGCTGGGGCCGACGGCGGGCATCCGGGTAGCGGCGGGGTCGGGGTGCCACGGCCCGCGGGTGTGACAACCCCCCCCCCCCCCCCCCCCCAGGCTAGCCCAGTGGCCTAGCCGGGGGGGGGGGCAAGCCACCACGGCGGCGGGACCACCCGGGGAGTGCACGGGCAGGGAGCGCCCGGACGATAGGGGGGGCGGAGGGGAGAGCGGGACAGGTGGCGACAGGGGGAACGGGGGGAAGGGCGGGTGGGGTGGCCACGGGACCGCCGGAACGGGGGGAACGGGCGCAGGGGGGGGCGGAGCCCAGGCCCGGCGTGGGGCGGCGCGGCCCGTCGGGACGGCGGGGGATGCATGCGAGGAGCAGCCGCCTGCCACCCCCCCTTGGGGGCCCCGGTGCGACCTTGGGTTGTGCGTCCCGCCGCGGGGGGGTGGTGGGTTCACGGTGGGCCATGCGCCCGGGCCGCGTGGGTGGGGTCGGTGCCGGGGGCCCCGGAGACGGGGCGCGGGGATACGCTCTTGTTGTCCCCGCGTGGGCGACCGGGCGGCCGTCGGGGCCCCCTCCACCCCCCGGAGGGCGGAGAGGCGTTCAGGCCGGGGGGGAGGGGGCCGGAAAGGGGGGGCCCCGGGACGCCGGGGCCCCGCGCACCCTTGTTGGGCCCGTCCCGTGACGCCGGAGGGGGTGGACAGAGCCCCCAACCACACACCCCCGGGGGCGGGCTGTGAGGGGGGGGCGCGGGGGCGCTGGGCGCGGACGGGGGGCGCGGCCGGCTTCGCGGGGGGGTGGGACAAGTGGTGGCGCCCTGCGCGGGAGGGTCGGGTGTGACTGGGGCGCCAGTTTTGTGCAGGCGCCTGTGGGTGGGTGACTCCCACCCCCACCCCCGGTGGGGCGACGGGGCGCGTCGTCCCCCCGCGTGTTCTGTGCGTTGGACTGACCGGGGCTGGCCGGCGCTGGTTGAGTGCTTGGTGGGGGTCGGGAGTCGAGCGCCCGGCGCGGCCGGGGTAGGTGTGGCGGGGGCGATGGCGCGAGCGGCGGCACCCCCCAAGCGTAGCGGAGGGGGCCCGGGGGTGGGAGGCACCCTGCATGCTTGACAGCGCGGAGGGGACGAGGGGGTAGCGCGATCGGGCGCCCCGGTGTGGACCAGGGGGCCGACGGGGCCGGGGGGACGGGGGGGCCGGGGGTCGCTCAAGCACGGGGGGTGGGGACGCGCGCGGCAGGCGGGCCCGTGGCGGTTGGGGCCGGGGGCGTGGGGGCGACCCCGGGCGGGGGGGGCCGGGGGGAGCTCCGTCAGACGAGGGGGGGCCAGTCGGCTGCGCGGGCTGTCGCTGCCGGCGGCCGGTGGTCGCCGGGGCTGGGGGCCGCCCCGGAGGTGCTCGGGGATGGGCCGGGCGCTGGGACGGCGGGGCCGGGGCACCACGCTGTGCGGGGCGGCTGCCCCCGGGGGGGGCGGGTGGGACCCTGTCCCCCGGCAACTAGCCTCGCGCGGCGGCACGTGTGTCCTCTCCGCGGGGCGCGGCCGGTCGGCCCGTGGCACCTCGGCGGGCCCAGACGGGCCCGACGCCACCACCAGCGGGGGGGCCCCACCAGAACAGGCGGGGACGAGAGCCTCCGGGCCGGGCCCCTGCCGAGCGCAGGGGGTGGTCGGAAGGCGCAGCGGTGGCAGGGAGGGCGAGCGGGGGGGGTCGGGTGGGGAGGGGCGTACCGCCCGCCGCACGAGGGGGGGCGGTGCTTACGTGTGCGGGGTCACGTTTCGGCGAGCCGGGGCGCTCGGCACACCTGGGTGCGGTGACCATGGGTCGCCCGCGGGGGCGGGCCGAGGGGCAGGGCGTGGCGCGGTCGGGCCCTGGGGGGAGTGGGGGCGGGGCCGGCCCGGGCGCATACCATGGGGGCGCCGGGGGCCGGCCGCGGCAGCGCGGTGGGAACCCGGTAGTGGGGGGGGGGGAGCGGCGTTTTTTCACGTGCCGCGGTAGCGGTGGCGGTAGGGGCTCGCGTGTCGTGGTCCGGATGGGGGCCAGACGTGGGGTTTCCGTGAGAGTCTTACGGGAGCCCCTCCCCCGCGGCGAGGCGGAGCGGGGGGGGGGGAGGGGTCCCGGACTCACGGGCTTCAGCGGACGGGGCAGGCGCGCGCGGTGGGGGGGCCACGCGGGGCACCAGCGGGGGACCGGGCTAGGCGGGGCGGGCGGAGGCGCCGAGGGAGGGGGGATTGCGGACGGAGTGACACGCGCTCCGGGGCGACGGGGCATCGGGGCGCGCCCCCCCCACCCACACCGAAGGGGAGGGCATCGGGGAAGCGCCGCGGATGGGCGGCAGTGGCGGCCCACGGGGGAGGCGGATGCGGGGCGCGATCGCGCGGGGGGCGTGAACCTCCGCGGGGTCGGCCTGTCGCGCCCCCCCCGGGGAGGAGGGAGCCGGCTCGGGGTGCGGCAGGGGATCGCTCCCTGCTCCGGTGGGGGGCGGTACCGGTACCGCAGTACAGGAGGACCGGGTAGCTGGGCGGGCGTTCCGGGGCGAGGGGGGCTGTGTTGGGCAGTCAGTCGCGGGGGGGCCTTCGTTTTTCTGTGGTGGGGGGGTGTATTTGTGGTGCGCCCCGAGCGTGCACTCTGGAAGAGAGCCTCTTACGGGGCGGGCAATCGACCAGGGCCGCGGGCCGTCTTGGCGCAGTTGGGCCAGCGGGGGCGGGCAGCGGGGGGGGTTCTAGGTGCGACGCGCCGCGGGGGCACGGGGGGGGGGACGTCGCGGCTGCATGGCCGGGGGGGCCACACGCCAGTCTGGGGGGCGTGACCTGGGGGCGAAGGGGGCCGGTAGAAGGCGAACCACGGGGGCTAGAGACATGGGGTTTGGACCCACGCACTCCTCCGGACCTGGGCTACATCCTCCGTGAATTTCACTCATGGGAAATGAAAGACAAAAAAGTTACGGCCTGCGTAAAAGGGGCTTGAGCTCCAAAAGCGTGTGTGCCTGGGAATACAGGGAGAGCCTCCGGAAATTCGTTAAAAATCAACGCAGAGGCCCAGAGACTCGCGGTCTGGACCCAGGGACTCCCCTGGTCCAGGGGTACCCGCGGTGTGAATTTGACGCGCGGGGGACAAAGGACCAGAAAGTTATGGCCCTTGGAAACCACCGGGGGACAGCGCGGCCGTGTCCGCTCACGAGCGCCTATTCTCGGTCAAGAAAGTGGCGGTTTCTCGGGCCCGTAGAAGGCGAACCACGGGGGCTAGAGACATGGGGTTTGGACCCACGCACTCCTCCGGACCTGGGCTACATCCTCCGTGAATTTCACTCATGGGAAATGAAAGACAAAAAAGTTACGGCCTGCGTAAAAGGGGCTTGAGCTCCAAAAGCGTGTGTGCCTGGGAATACAGGGAGAGCCTCCGGAAATTCGTTAAAAATCAACGCAGAGGCCCAGAGACTCGCGGTCTGGACCCAGGGACTCCCCTGGTCCAGGGGTACCCGCGGTGTGAATTTGACGCGCGGGGGACAAAGGACCAGAAAGTTATGGCCCTTGGAAACCACCGGGGGACAGCGCGGCCGTGTCCGCTCACGAGCGCCTATTCTCGGTCAAGAAAGTGGCGGTTTCTCGGGCCCGTAGAAGGCGAACCACGGGGGCTAGAGACATGGGGTTTGGACCCACGCACTCCTCCGGACCTGGGCTACATCCTCCGTGAATTTCACTCATGGGAAATGAAAGACAAAAAAGTTACGGCCTGCGTAAAAGGGGCTTGAGCTCCAAAAGCGTGTGTGCCTGGGAATACAGGGAGAGCCTCCGGAAATTCGTTAAAAATCAACGCAGAGGCCCAGAGACTCGCGGTCTGGACCCAGGGACTCCCCTGGTCCAGGGGTACCCGCGGTGTGAATTTGACGCGCGGGGGACAAAGGACCAGAAAGTTATGGCCCTTGGAAACCACCGGGGGACAGCGCGCCTGCCATCCGCCCAAGAGCGCTCCTTCTGGGGGAGGAGAACCTCGGCTTACATGGCTCGTAGAAAACGAACCATGAGGGCTAGAGACACGGGGTTTGGACCCACGCACTCCTCCGGACCTGGGCTACCACCGGGGCGGGCTTTGCTCCCGCTCAGATCCGGGCCTGGGCGCCCATTCCCGGGGGAAGTAAGCCCCGCTTTCCGGGCTCCTCAAAGCCTAAACACTTAGGTTTTTTTCTCAAAACACTTAGTCTGATTTTCAACGTGTGCCTGGTCCTACAGTCTAGACACTTAGGTTTTTTTCTCAAAACACTTAGTCTGATTTTCAACGTGTGCCTGGTCCTACAGTCTAGACACTTAGGTTATTTTCTCAAAACACTTAGTCTGATTTTCAACGTGTGCCTGGTCCTACAGCCTAAACACTTAGGTTTTTTTCTCAAAACACTTAGTCTGATTTTCAACGTGTGCCTGGTCCTACAGCCTAAACACTTAGGTTTTTTCTCAAAACACTTAGTCTGATTTTCGAAGTGTGCCTGGTCCTACAGCCTAAACACTTAGGTTTTTTCTCAAAACACTTAGTCTGATTTTCAAAGTGTGCCTGGTCCTACAGCCTAAACACTTAGGTTTTTTCTCAAAACACTTAGTCTGATTTTCAACGTGTGCCTGGTCCTACAGCCTAAACACTTGGGTTTTTTTCTCAAAACACTTTCTGCACACCCACACATACACGTTTTTGTTACCTGGTGGGTCCCTTTGACAGGGCCGTTCAGAATGGGACCCATAGACATAATCTTTTTTTACCAAGACTTTAAGTAATACAAAACAGTCAATAGAAACCAAACAACTATTTTAAAGGAATTTTATTTTAGATTTTGTTTTCGAATTGCAGTGATTCTATTTTTGACATAGAATTTAATGCCACTCCATGTCCGATGTCTAAGGTCATCTGGTGAGGCATTAATGCAGGCCAGGCAGTGAGACTTCCCAGGGACCTTTCCAGTCTGTATGAAAGGTGTCATGGTCTTCTCCACAGCCTTCACCTCAGATGCAGACCATGGCTTTCTTACACGTTCTAGGGAGAGAAATAAAAATATATTAGCAATATACACTCCCAGGGTGAGGACCAAGCAGCCTGGCTGTAATCCCCCACCTGGTACACTTACCAGAAGGGGCACTGCCACTACCATGGGGTGCATCTGGATGAATGGTTGAAGGTTCTCCGCTTGAAGTTTCTTTTAGCCCGTCCGTTTGTGAGAGGATCTCTACTGCTCTCCCTGTCGCACAGAAAATAAAAATACAAGTGGCCTTTAGGGGAAAAAAATCATACATATTTTAATAATATCAAGAATTACCTTCAGGCTCAATTTGTATCTGGTCGAGGCTCTTTCCTTCGAATTCCGTCACTCTTCCCTGCTCCATGGCCATCAACACTTTGCTGATTTTGGCCAGCTCCAGTGTCCCCTCTGGTAGTCTGTAATATTGCCTGTGGATGCGAATGTCATGGCCGAGGAAGTTGGCAAGTATGTCCATCTCATTCTCTTTCATATTGAGAACTGTAGACATAGTAGCTATGTGCTTTCTAAGTTTGGTTGAGGATAGCATCTCTGGATGCACCGCACCACATTCTTTGGCTACCTGGCGTAGGGAGTCTGATCCCCTGATGTGGGTGTCTGCGCCCGGGCGGGAAAAGAAGTATGGGTTATGGTCAGAGATGGAACAGGCCCTTCTGTTCTCCACCAGCACCTCCATCGAAGCAATCATTTCAGGAGTCAAAAGAACCGGCACTTTCCGACTTCTTTTCCCTTTAATTTCAATGCGTTGAAAATGCTGACACAGCTTTTTCTCAAGTTGGGACAGTCCCAGAGCAATGTCAGAATGGATCCCAGTCTTACTTCTTAAGGTAAAGGCTGTCAGTGGCATCTTTGAAACCTCACCTTCCCTTCTTCGATTGAAAATGATGACCTCACAAAGAGTCAAAACTGCCAGTTTAGACCAATGCTTAGACGTTGGCTCACTTATTAGGGTTTGCACATATTCAGGTCGACATACCTCAATATGTGCATGCATGGCTCTAACGTCCTCAGTCAGAGGGAGCAGGTCCGGAGTGTTCCACTTGGCTTGCCGGAGGGTCTGTAGGGCAGCAGAAGAAACACAGACGTCCCACCTCTTCTCAAAAAGCAGCCGGCTTCGTTGGAGGTTTTTAATAAATAGTTCATCAACACAATGCTCCATTTTTGAGTCACATTCAAGAATATCTGCTAGCTTTCTGAGGCTATGGCCGAGTTTGAGGGCCAAGGATGGAGTCTTGTATTGATTTGTTTCCTCATCATATCCAGCCACAGACCTGACTGCATCAATCACATGGTTAAAGTTGGAAGGAATAAAGAAATCCTTAATTGTTTTCAGTTTCCCTGCGGTTTTTGCTTCGTTAATTAACCTACCGACTTCTCTCATTTTCTGCCTAATGTAATCATGCTTTGTCTTATCATGCCCGTGTTTTAAGTACAGGTGCTCTCCGAGTCTCAGAATCCCCTTTTCTGCTTTGACAACACCCGTGACCTCATCCTGATGCATTGCCGAAATTAAAGACCACAGCTTTTTGCTGATGCCCTCCGGTACAGGCTGGGCTAGGGAGCAGAGGGACTGGACCCTACTTCTACCTGGTTTAGCCTGGGCATCTTTCTGTGAAAGCCGGCACCTGGCCACATGCCTCCACAGCGACTTTCGCTTAAGCAATGCCCCACAGTCTATACAGTGCAAAAACTCACTGGATTTAACTGGGCAATTTGGCTGTTTAGCTGGGACTAAAGTTCCAATGCCGGCCTTTAAAACCTCAAAATTGTGCTCACGGTTTCCACTATTCCTGATCAAATCAAACTGAAGTTTACGTGCTTTAGATTTCACAGGTAGAGCCAATGCTCTGGCTACGTCACTTTCATTTCCATGTTTTCTAGTCAAATGACGGGACATTTTGTGGCAGGACATTGAACAGTAGAGGCAGAAGTGTCTCTTGCTGTATACTCGCCCCCCATTTTTCTTCTTTTGCAGCTGCATGATAACAATCTTATTTGCCTTTGGTTCGTCACTTTCCGAGTCTTGAAGAAAAGTGTTTTTGATTTTTCTTTTTCCATACTTTTTTACAGGTTTCTTCTTGACAGTTAAATCGTCAGAATCTGAGTCGACTTCATCAATTAGGGACTCTTGACTAAGCTGCACAAACAACAAATAATTTGTAATCATTCTATATAACAATTTGAAGTCATGACTTGTAGTCAGCACTTACCAGTGGTTTGTAAGCGTGCGCTTCAGTGTGCTCCTCCATGATTTCTTGCAGCCTAATGAACCACACACTTGCACCTTTTTCTAGCCTGACACCTGATTTCCTCTGTTGTGCTGCTCCATGATTGGCTCCAGCCTGCTGGACTGAAATTGCCCCAGTGTGCCCCTCCTTGATATCCCGCAACCCACCACCAGGGTTCCGACACATAACACACTTTTTTCAGGAAAGTAAACCTCCAGGGGTCCTTTCCATATTTTTACAGAGACTGCATAAGGACCGTTAGAAAAGCATTACCCATTGATTATTAAGCTTGGACCAGTGGGGTCCGGTGTTCGGGCCCCACCACGTAAAACCAGTCCCCATGACGTGAGTGGAATCTCAGGTTATGGAACCCACCAGGAGTTGAAAACAAGTGCACACACACACACACACACACACACACACACACACACACACACACACACACACACACACACACACACACACACACACACACACACACACACACACTTTATATATTATTATTGTAACATATTTCACAAAACAGCAACAATACCTTTAGCATTAACTTGTAATTTAATTTGCCCCCGCTGGCGGTAGCACAAGTGCACAACATATTTATTGACCTTGTGGTATGATTCTTTGAATGGGGATCAATGGTTTGCCAGAGTATGCATTAGCAGCTGTGAAGAAATATAAGAGCAGTGGAAGGGCTACAAAAGACACAAATCAAACTGGAAGTGACTGGAAGCGAAGCGAGCCATGTTGGAATTAATCTTCCAATGAGGGCTTTGTAAAGGTTAAAAAGGACAATTGAATCAGATGTAGTTTTACATCCAGAGACTTTAACCTTCAGAGGAAGAGGAGGGCACAGAGGAAGGTGAATCTGCAGAATGAGAGAGGGGGTCGAGGGTTGGACAGTGTGTCCTAGCTCATGATGCTCAAATGGATGAGAACCAAAAAGAGGAGACATTAGACAGCCTGAGAAGTGAAAACATGGGAGGAAAATACATTCATGAATGCAATTATTCATGTGTACATCCAAGAATTCAAGAACAACCAGAAGCGTTTGAATTGGGCAGGCTCTTTAATTTGAAATAGTGTTCAATCCTGGAAAGATAATGGACTGATTACCGATTGATCATACGGATGCAAATTCTCACACTTGTTCTAGTCTTCAAAGACATGGATTTTCAACCATTTTCATGTGGTAGATTAATAAAACTAGTGTATGATCCACACACACAAACGCACATACACACACACACGCACACGCACACAGACAGACATTTCTTGCCTTTCTAGATAGATTGTCAGACTACACTTACTTAAGCATGATCAATATTCAGTTGGTACTGTACATCACATTTTCATGGACACCTACTCTTCATGTGCTGCATGCATGTCAAAAGCCGGGCATTATTTCATATAGTTTCTTTTGATGTTTTTAGGTCTTAGAACTATCGGAGTCATCACTAAACTGGATTTGATGGATGAAGGAACAGACGCTCGGGATGTTCTGGAGAACAAGCTGCTGCCTTTGCGACGAGGTCCGTCTCTTCCACTATATGCTTCTTTTCGTTCTATGGCACCTGTTCTTAACAGTTCATCGTACACATGTTTCCTGCAGGATATATTGGTGTTGTGAATCGTAGCCAGAAGGATATTGATGGAAAGAAAGACATCAAAGCTGCCATGGAAGCAGAGAGGAAGTTTTTCTTCACCCACCCGTCATATAGGCACATGGCTGAAAAAATGGGTACTCCACGACTGCAAAGAGTTCTCAACGAGGTGATCACAGATTTAGTTCATGCTTTAGCTTTTTCATAAAGAGCAAGATGATGACATGCTAAAGACTTTTAGTATAATATCTTGAATTGACTATTATCACAACAATTATTTATTGAACTCTTATCTTATATTGTAGTCTGCCTTGGGTCAATCCATGGGTCAATGAATGAATCGGCCATCCATTCATGATGCCAGCGTGTCACAGGGTTATTTATTACTGCTTTTAGTTATTGTGACCAATAAATTTGATCCAGCAACCATACAATTGTGAATCTATTCTAAAAGTGAGATAAAAGTAGTATAGGGAAACTTTTAGTTATGTATGTATAACTTGGCTACTTTTCAAATCACAAAAATTAAACAATTTAATCAAATCCATTTAACTATTTATTTGTTCTCAATAATAGCTTCTTGACTTTTTTCAAATAGTGACTCAGTGGGCAAGTTTATTTGTATTGTACCCACAGGGCAAGTATGCAACAGATAACATGTTTTCTAATAAGATGAAGACCGCATGATCTGGTCTAATTTGTTCACAACATTTTGCTCTTGCTTTATGAGAGAAAGGGTTAGGTACCAGGCTTAAAAAAAGGTGTTGTTTTATGATTTTCTTTAAGGCTCTTCCGTGTTTCCACAGCAACTCACCAACCACATCCGGGACACACTGCCGGCGTTCCGCAGTAAACTCCAGTCCCAGCTGTTGGCATTGGATAAAGAGGCAGAGGAATACCGAGGATACCGACCTGATGACCCGTCTCGCAAAACCAAGCAGCTGTTGCAGTCAGTCCAGCTTGCACAATTTTCCCACGAAGCAAATGTGAAAATTTTCAGCCGTTCTTGTGGTAACCGTTGATACGTTTCACTTGTAGGATGGTGCAGCAGTTTTCAGTAGACTTTGAGAAGAGAATTGAAGGTTCAGGAGACCAGGTGGATACCGTGGAGCTTTCTGGGGGAGCGAAAATCAACCGTATATTTCATGAACGCTTTCCTTTTGAACTGGTCAAGGTGCATAAAAACAAACATACCCTATACATATTTCTCGCTATTTGGTTTTTCCAATAAAACTCACAGCGGTTATTGTTTTTATCAACCTATACACTTTAGATGGAGTGTGATGAGAAGGAAATGCGTCGTGAAATTAGTTATGCCATAAAGAACATCCATGGTATCAGGTGGGTGAATTTGCACACTGCAAAAAATGATCAAATATGAGGTAATAAATGCTTGGATCGAGTTGTTTTTTTAAATTTAAGTACATTCTGACGATCTTAAAACAAGATTTTCCAATGGGACAAGCCATGTGGTCTTTTTTCGTGAACTCCCATTGGCACATATTGTTTTAAGACAGTCAAAATGTGCTTGAATCAAGATACATTTTGCCTTATCACTTTTTTCAGTGCATTGTCTGCTTTATTGTGCAATGATACTATGTTCAATTAGATACATACTTAAATATCCTTCTTGCCTTGCTGGTTTCCTTCAGGACTGGTCTGTTCACCCCAGATATGGCGTTTGAAGCCATAGTGAAGAAACAGGTCATAAAGCTGAAGGAGCCTTGTGTGAAATGTGTGGATATGGTCATTCAGGAGCTGATCAACACGGTCCGCCAATGCTCCAACAAGGTCTGTGCTTTTTGAATTCTGTGGCAAAATGTGGTTGTTATCAGTTATTTATGGTATATTTATATTGTATCGGTATATATTTGGTTGGTGGTTATAAATGACCAATGATTATAAATAACACTACATGGTGACTGAAAGGTATTTTGATTTGTTTGCAGCTGGAATGCTTTCCCAGACTTTGTGAAGAGACTGAGAGAATTGTCACAACACATATTAGAGATAGAGAGAGCCGGGCTAAGGACCAGGTAACATTTTATAGTATCATTTTATGTTATGATATTGCAATAATATTTCTACTGCATCTCTTTTATGATTTATCACAAAATAAATCAAGAAAATAAACAAGACAGACAGTACATCAAGCCTTGTTATACACAGTTTGAGGCAGATGCTGGGGATGCCCTTCTAATGTTTTGGATTTGTTTTGCATCTTTTTGTGCAGGTGCTGCTATTGATTGACATTCAGCTTTCATACATAAATACCAATCATGAAGACTTTATTGGATTTGCCAAGTAAATATTTATTACGGTAAATGATCGGAATGGTGCTTTTTAAATGTTGACTGTTTTGCTTGTGCATGGTTGCAGTGCGCAGCAGAGAAGCAGTCAGACCAATAAGAGCCAGAGTGCATCAGTGAATCAGGTGAGGCCGCTCATATTTTGAAATGTTATGAGTACTGAGTAATGTGTGCGTGAGAGAGAGAAAGATATTTATGTTTTTCCTATATTTTTAAATTGCATAAGGCTGAAAACTGTTTTATTGTAAATGGACTCTCAATCTTACTGTAATCACACCAAGTTTTTTGTGCATTGCCCCAAATTAGTACATTCATATCGAAATATAAACATTTAAAAACATATGAACTCTCAAGAACTTGCATTACCATTCTTCATTCCTTTTGGAGTCCACATTTTTATTTTATCATTACAATCCCAGGTAACTGCTCTCATTCATACACTGAGAGCAGTTGCCTGGGAATGTCCATTTTGATATGAGAGGATACAATATGTATTGTGCTTTATAAAAAAGCAACTGTGTTCAGTTCTATTTCATTGTTTAAATATTATTTAATTATTGTTTGTCCCACCATTTATTTATTTCACCTTTACCGCTGGTGTTTTGAGACATCTCCCTATGTTTTTGAACCCCTCATGTATCACAAAGGTGCCTCATTTCATCCCCATTCCTTAGTGAGGTTCTCTACTGCCTCCTAATGGTTGTCTCTTGGTGAGTATAGCTTGTTGTGAGTTGTGGCTTGCAATGTTAATAACGGCTGTCGTGATATTATCTTTCTACTAGTACTACTACTACTACTACTACTACGACTTACTTCTTTTGTGGTATTACCTTGGGTTCCTTCCTGTACTTGCTTTACTGGGTTGTGGTGGACTTAGGCACAGATTGCCTTGTGTCATTAGCACCACAGGGAGTCTTACGGTTCTTCCCATTGCAGGCCTCCTCTCCTCCTGCTTCAGGTCTGATTGTAAGAGCTTGTTCTCAGCTTGTTCTCTGGTCCTTTTCTCTTAACACCCACCCCCACCTTTTGACTACAAGGGATGCCAATAATGAATACAACAACTTTAAGATCACTAAACTGTTAAAGATTATAAGGCCTGACTCTGTATAAAATAGCTTTAAATACCACTGAACTTCAAAGGTTGTCAAATTGATGTCCACTTTAGGTGCCAAAGTAACAGAATGGCTAAAGGATGAGCTCCTGAACACTTAAAACATATAAAAGAAATTGTTTACTGAAGAGTCACATTTTTGTCATACATTGTGTATTTGCTCTGTTTTTCCTGAACCCCTGCACAATAGAATAATATATACATATACACATATATACAATCACACACCTATACATAAACATATATTCATACATATCTATATATGTACACATACACATAAGACAGCTGAATAAGCAAGCATCCATAACCATAACCCTGAACACTTCAGAGCAATCAATCTGGCTTCCCACAAATATCTTTTTACATAAAAAAAAAAAAAAAAAAAAAAAATCTTTTTTGATCATTGATTTTTAGTAGTCTTCTATCTCTTATAAAGTTTCAGGGCTCCAACTTGTTTCTGTTTTACACAAGATTTCTCCAAAAGTAAAAAAAACCTGGTGCCTAAATAAAATAAAAAAAAAACCCTCTAATTTCAGAATCATTTTTTTGGTCCAGAATCTTATTGCTCAAATAAAAATACAATACAATAATTATTAAATTGAATCACTCTAATGTTGGGATTGTTGGCTACTTTTGCCTGTAGTGTCTTGCCTTCATTTTTCAGGTAACCTTCTTTGTGAGTCATTGGTGGTCAAAGAGCTCTAACTCAATAATCACGAGGCACTGTGCTCATAGACTTGTTTCTAAAAAGCTTGTTGCAAAATTCTCTCTAACACACTCAACACAAAATCTTTCTTAACACAATGGTCACTTAACAATTGACTGCTTCAGGCCTGCGCTATGCCACTCTGACACTTCACTGACTAAATGAGAACACCTCTAACCTCACACATCTATCATTGTTAAATTAATCATTTTCAACACATCTGATTTTTTTTTTAAATTATTATTCAAGAGTCTAAACGTGTGACTTTGTTTGGTCTTAGGTCATCCGCAAAGGGTGGCTTACCATCAACAACATCAGCATCATGAAGGGAGGAGCCAAGGAATACTGGTTTGTGCTGACTGCGGAAAGCTTGTCCTGGTTCAAAGATGACGAGGTAAGATGCACATACACATACACTGTTCGGTGTGTACTAAATATAAATGTGGAGAATATACAATTAGAAAAAAATAAATAATCAAACCAGTTTTAAGGAGGACTGCTTTGGACATGTTGTGTATTGTACATTGTTAAGAAAGGGGAAGGCAACATAAGATTTTCTTCTCTGCTTCTTTGTAATTGTGCCGTAGGACTACAACTGTTGGAAATGTAATTGTAATATGTACAACATTGAAATAAATATGTACATGAATATACAGACATGCATACATACATACATACACATACACTCCACATACATAAATACTTACAGTACATACAGTACACACACATAAATACATATATACACCCATATACACACACATACATATACATAAACATATATACACACACACAAACACATACACACATACATGCATACATACATACATACATACATACATAAAAAAATATGTTTATTAGTATTGCCTTTTAGTCCACACACTTCACAATCCAGATGGTGATGGCCACAGTTCCTCCTTCACTAATGGTGTTGCACTGTCATACTGATATCTGCCTGTCTGTGCCTGCTGTACAGTTTGAAGGACATTCTGCACAGCAAGTGTAGATAGGCAGACACACTGCAACATTTGGGAGAAGATGAAGAAGAGGCTCAATAATAGACACAATTTGAAAATGAATAAACAAACAATACACAAATAATGATCCTTATTCTACTTTCAATCATTCTGCAGATTTTTCATTCACTCTTCAGTCACACTTTAGGACTTGGCTGCAATCCTGTGTCCATGCCCTGCACAGCCACAACCACTCACACATTCAAACAGTGAGCGCAGTATCATGCCCAAGGGAAATGGTATGCATTGCTAGCGTGGATGAAACTGTCAGCCCGAGGGTTAGTGGGTGAACTGAGCGACTGTCTGCAAAGGCCAGTGATATTTCCAAAGCGAGATCCTACAGTAATGATCTATGTAATATAAAAGTGTATATAGCTTCTTATTTGCGCATACATGTTCTGTTTTATGTTTGATTCACTGATCTGTGTTGGCGAATTGACAACTTTGTAAAGTCCTCCGAGATTACTACTGTTGTGATTCACGGCTATACAAAATACATTGAATTGAAACTGAATTCATATAGTTATGCTCATCAGCACGGCAATACTGGTATTTCTGCTGCCTTGTCTTTCAATGATTTTGGGCATTTGTCTTGTTAAGTTGGCGTTATACCAATCTTAACCAAATGTTCCGTTCACAGCCACTCAGCGGCACTCAGACAACACACACGGGCTGCACAGTACTCGCTCCACACGCTGCCATTTGATACGTACGTGTGGTGATGGAGAAAATTATAGACTGCCGTTTCTTATTATATATTTCAGTTCAACTTTCTGTAGTCACGCACACACACACACACACACACACACACACACACACACACACACACACACACACACACACACACACACACACACACACACACACACACACACACATGCATGTACTTTTTGAAAGAGTGGAGTTGGCAGTTAGTTTGGAACGGCTCACATTCTTGGCTGTAAAACTACACTTTATATTCTAAACATCAACATCCAATGTTTTAATATAAGGGAGCCTTCTACTAAATGAAACTGAATCTATCTGACAATGTCCCAGTAGCCCCATATGTTCACTATTAATGCATATTTTACAGAATTAAGTATTTTTTTCTCAAACTTCTACCCCCCCTTACATTTTTGCCTACCACCATAATATCTCATTGTCATTCTCATTCACACTACATTTCTACCAACTGCATGCTATCTCCTGCACATCTCCATGTCCCTGTTTTTGTGCATTAAATTTGGCCACCCACTGACATACTTCTTTGGAGGCGTCTGTATTTTCAAACTCCTCTTGATTGATTGGCCCTGCTTCGTTCAGTGTGTCCTTGATGGTTTGCAGCCACAGTGGCTCCTCCCATGTGACCACGGCTTCACCAGGGCACCAGGATAGCTGCTTGAATTACAATTAAGTGAAATGGTTTTTTTGGTTAAATTATTTTTAGTTTTTTGTATTCAGAGGCATTTTTTCCAGTGCATGCTTAGTGGCGAGAGTCAGCGTCAGTGTTTATTCTAGTTATGAGTGAGGAGAAAGCTGTGAGTGTTAGATTACACCATATACAAACGAACAACTGTTCTGGTATGTTAAATTAGCACAGGTGAAGGCTGATGTATTAGATTCAACACAATGACACACACATTTTGTACTTGATATGATATTAGTACAGAGAGACAGAGAGAGAAACAGCGAGAAGGCACACTTATAGACAGACTGACAGAAGAGGATCCATGCCCAGTCTAACCAATGTGCAGACTACTGTACACCAGTATGATAATGAACAGGTAGTCTGAACACTGGGTGGACGGAGCATGAGCTGAAAGCCAGGCCTGGTGGTGTCTGCTGCCAATCCAGATGCACGCTCGCCTTGTGCCCACTTCCACTTCATCGATTCCCTTCATCGTAGTGCCCTCAAAATGCTGTTTGGCGTTGTATTCACGGCGAGATGCGGGGCGGTCTCTTCTGTTTGTTTGTTTTTGTACAAGTTGGGAAAGCGGTGGTCCTCTCGCAATCCGGGTGATCACACCGGCCATCAGCAATATCCAGCTTTGACGTGGCATATTCTCTCATACGACTGACTGGGACAAACTGGGCTGCACATTCAGGGAGGGGATATTACAAAAACGAGGGAACAGGGGGAAGAGGGAGGGGACCATGCCTGACCATATATGGGAAGGAGTGACCCTTAGGGAAATGTAACTGATTTGCAGACTTTCTTTTCCTGTCTTCTACTTGAACTTTACTCCTTACGTTTGTCTATCTTCTACAAATTCCGAAACATTTGCGAGTGTTATTTTATAAATCTTGTGGAAATCCATTTCAACGTGTGTTTTATCCACTATCCCTGCACTCCCGCCTCTGTGTGGAGCTAAGCACTACCAGATGTTGAGTTTTAACGCCAGGTTGTCATTTAATCTCTCTCTCCCGCTCTCTCTCTCCCCTTCTTCAAAAAAATTAGGCAGGAAGTGGGCCCCTCTGGAATGGAAAGAAAAAATATTTAAACAAAATATTGAGGGGGAGGGATATAAAAGACAGACACAGGGATGAAGGTTAGTTGTAGGACAGAAATGGTAAGCCCTATGAACATCATGTGTGCAATGACATTTTCATGTTTCAGTAAAAACTTATGACAAGATCACATTCTGGGCTGCTTTTTCTGGGCTGTTACCTACCTGTGCTATTCCACAGTGAAGAAGGACTTATGTCTTGACCCGCACTTTAATGACTTCCACATGTGGTCGCCCTCTCTGTTTCTCATTCTTTTCCCCCACCAACACTACCCCCAGTTCGGTCTCCCCCATTCCATCTCGCTCCTCACACTCTTATGATTTGATTGCGGGCTTACTTTATAAGACTCTCAAAAATGCTAAAATATAAACATGCTCAAACCAAAGTACAGCAAACTATGAGTCATTGAAGAGTTTATGATCCTGAATCATTTGTTCTTTTAGGAGAAAGAGAAGAAGTACATGCTGCCCCTGGACAACCTGAAAGTCCGCGATGTGGAAAAGAGTTTCATGTCCAGCAAGCACATATTCTGCATCTTCAATACTGAGTCAAGGTCAGGAATAAAATGTTTTTTTTTGACTTTGCAGAAGAAAAAGTGCCTGAAATAATTTTCTGGTCATACCAGTGTCATTTTCCTGTTTTGTTTGCTTTTTTAAACCTTAACCTCAGTGTCGGCCCATGCATTTAGGGCCCTATAAGCAAAATGCACTGTGGGGATACACGTGGTCACCTACATGTTAGGGACATGTTGATGGTATACAATTTAGAGTATGGAACACAGTTGTAATGACATTTATTATAAAATAGAAATGCTTTTGTGTGAAAAATCTAATTACAGGTATATCCTGAAAAGACTTTTGAGATTTAAAAAAATCTCAAAAGAATTTTTTTCAGAATTTGCAATCAAATTGAAAGCACTGTTTGGGGCCCTCTGGTGGCACGGCCAGCCTCAACCTGCCAGTCGAATACAGTTCCCTGTGTGATAAACTGCTGTCATTCAAGTCCTTATCACTGACATAAACAAGCTCACCTATAATGATGTAGGCTGAACACTGCCCTTCAGCATATACAGTGGAAACCAAAAGTTTGCTTACATCATCTTCATTTTTTCACACTCCCATAAAACATGTCTTCTTTAAAAAGAAAAGTTGAAACAACGTTGTTGGTCAGATGTTTTTCGCCAATTTTTGGCTAATTACCACAATATTGAAATGGGAGGCATTCATTTGATATTTTAAGGTCTCACTGCTTTCTTGTTTACATTAAGACAATAAAAAATCAGCCAGAGAGAGAGATTTGTACATCACTAATATTTATTATTCTATACTTTCCAAAAAAACAGAACAAAAGTTAAAGAACTTTGAAGCTGTAAAGTTGTCATTATCTAAAGTACAAACATGGACAAAATAACCAAAAGAAACAGATCACATTTCTCAACATTCACAAGACTATATAATGTCAGATGTCTTACAAAAATGTTGAGGGTTTTTGTTGAGGGAACTTTTTGTAATAAGATTCTTCATTCTGTGTTTTTAGGAATGTCTACAAAGACAATCGTACTCTGGAGTTGGCTTGTGATACTCAGGATGATGTTGACAGCTGGAAATCCTCTCTCCTGCGTGCCGGCGTATATCCTGAAAAGACTGTCACGGTCTGTAGACTTACTGTCTTTGCGATAATATATTACTATTTTCTCTGTCTCTTGCCCTCATCTGTGGTTGGAAACCTAATGCCTGAAATGATCCCTCTAATTAGGGCTTTTCTTGGTTTTCTGCAGGTTGAGAGTGAGACCACTAGCTCCTCAGATAACTTCTCAATGGACCCTCAGCTGGAGCGTAAAGTGGAAACCATCAGAAACCTTGTGGACTCTTACATGGCTATCGTCAATAAGTGCATCCGAGACCTGATGCCAAAGGCTATCATGCATCTCATGATCAACAATGTAAGCTCTTTTAATTGAAAACTGTGATAAAGTTATTTTATTGGTATATTTTAATTAAAATCAGTGAAAAGCTACAATCAAAAAGGCCCAGAACGAAGTGGGACATCCTTGCAGTTTGTTGTAGACCCTGATTATTAAAAAAATCATATAATTGTTTACAGTAATTGTTTTGTCTGGTAGAAAGTCTTTCAAAGTATTTAAACACACATGTTCTGATTTGCTACACAACATTTGTTAAAGAACATTGTACTGTGAACATTGTTCAGTCATCATTTGAAGGAACAATGTATTCATAAAATAGAGAAATAGGGTTAATAAATCATTGACCCTGTACATGAACTTTGTTTGAGACTTAGTAATTTATTGTCCGACAAGGGAAATTGAAGGACACAGAAAAAAACAGACAGATGCAGTGAATAGTGAAAATCTTCCCACAGGTGAAGGACTTCATCAATGCAGAGCTTTTGGCTCAGTTGTACTCAGCTGGGGATCAGAACTCCCTCATGGATGAGTCCCAGGAGCAGGCCCAAAGGAGGGACGAGGTGCTGCGGACTCACCAGGCCTTGAAGGAGGCTCTGGCCATCATTGGTGACATCTCCACCACCACTATTACCACACCTATGCCTCCGCCTGTCGACACCTCGTGGATGGGTATCAATCGCAGGTAGACCATTGAAATATAAAATCTATTTATGTGGAATCAACAACCAACTTGATAGGGGCTAATATACTGATGTCCAGAGGTAATATGTTGGATTTATGTGTCGTTCTCAGATCTCCACCCCCCAGCCCCACTGCTCCCCGGAGGATGTCCTCGGGCCAGCGTCCTGGTCCTCGAGGGGCTCCCCCTCCACCAAACCGCCCTGGACCTTTGGGACCTTTCAACAATAGTGCTGAAAGCCCCCAGGCCCCTAGCCGCCCGAACAGGGCTCCCCCAAGCATCCCGAGGTAAGTCACTCACAATGTCCCAATTGAGAAAGGAACAAGATCTAATACACAAATAGATAATTTCATATTCCAATAATCAAAAAAAGCACTTTTTGACTTGTATCTCTATTAAAGGCATGGTGCTGTTTCAAGATGTTTGTTGTCTTTTCCTTCTCTCTTTAATGTGTATTTGTTCTATTCTCTAGCCGGCGGCCCCCTCCATCTCCTACAAGACAAGCACCCCCATCCTAAACCTCTGAAGGGGTGGCCTCTTCCCTTGTCTCATCCACTCTGTACCACTCTATCTTAGCCATGGCTCTGCTGTTTGTGTCTTTCCTTAATGCAGACACTAAAGTGTTTACCCCACTGACCCTCGATTTCCTGCCAGGTGACGATATCCATATATCTATGTACAGTATGGTACCTGTCTTGTGGTGTATATGTATGTTGCGCTTGTTGCTCACCTGTGGTCCAGGTTTGCTTTGCAGTATAAGTCCCTGGGTCCTCCTTTAGCCCTCAACCCTTTGATAAGACGTCACCTCCACCCCACTTGCTGCTTCTCCATGAAAATATGCTCAGCAGTTGCACTGCCCTCCTTGTTCCAAATGCAGCATGGCACATGCGCTGCTTTTATTGCATGGAAGTGTATGTATGTAGAGTGTGTGTTTGTGTGTATGTACAAAGGGACCGGATGAATTTGCCAATCCATAGGCTGAAAATGATTTAGAATTGTATTAATTTATTGTATATCACACTTAAGTGTTAATTATCAGCTTAATGTTCGCGTAGGAACACAAGTTGTATCTTAGTATGTGAGTGTATATAGAGTATGTGTTTGTAACTTGCATAGATATAAGATAGTCAGATGCTTCATTCATCTTGCTGTTATATTGGAAGATGCTCAAAGGGCAGCCATATGAGAAAGCTAACAATTGTATGAGAAGCTCGATGCGTTGGACTACAGGCTCTAGAGTACTCCTCATGATGTGTTCCAGACATGTGTTTTGATGGCCATAAACAATGAATGTGAAAGAGCATGATTGAGTCTGTCTCTACACCAGCCATATCATTGTCCAAGATGTCTTGGCTCCATAGTTGATTTATTATCGTAAGTGAAAAATTAGTTTTGTTATCTAAAGTAAAGGCTTAAATAACCAAACCAGAAGTCATTTGTTTACTTTAATTGTAATTTGTTCAGTTAATCTTTCTGGACGGATTCTATTAGACTTGTGCCATAATGATTTCATTTTTACATTAATTCACATATAATAAAAGTAGCAGCCTAGAATGTTGATGTCTTCCTGAATATGGCAGCTGAAGACACAGCCTGTCAGAATGTGGCATCTCCTGTTCTATATCTATGACCACAATGTGTGTGTGTGTGTGAGTGCGTATGTGCATTTGTGTGCGTGTGTGTGTCTGCGTGTGCGTGTGTGTGTGGGAGAGGGTGACCTGAGTGCATGTGCTGTCTGTCTGCACGTTTGTTGGCGTTTCAGTTGTGATCGTTTTCATGAACGCTGTTATTGATGAACTATAAAAACCTTGAGGTAATAATATATGTTGGACTTTTGTGAGTTGTCCCTGTGTTATAGTAGCAGCCATACACACATAGCGAGGCTGAGGAGCACCTATAGTATTCAAAGAAACAACATCAGTAATATCAACACGACTTATAACCAAACCTTGGTGTCCACCTGTGCTGCGTTATTGGTCAAATTGTGACCCTTTACAACCTTAAGCTTTGATTCAGATCCTGACTGAGTGTTTTATCAGCATGTTTCATTTGGTCTTTTTCTCAGGTTTGCTATTCCATGCACATCATAAACTGGCTTTTACTTTGAAGATGTTTAGCATCACAAACAAGGGGATCAGTCAGTGTCTGCCTTAAAGCTCTAGGCAGCATTGTCAGATTTCAAGTGCTTCTCTGTCTGTCTGTTATTGTGTATGTTGGCCTAAACTGTGTTCTAATGTATATAGGTAATGATATAAGAGACAAGTGGATCATAAAGACCTCATCAAGGACCCTAGCGCTTTAATTGTTCTATGTCTCACAAAATTGTCTAATTTAGGCAGTATTAAATGGCATCAATAGCAATTGCGTATTGCCAAAGTATATTGTAGTGAGAACACTATTACAAGGATGTTGTAAAAAACAACGGAAGACGGTTCCAGTTGTAAATGGCATATAGAGCATATAATAATTAATGGGGGAATTGCATTGGTTGTTTTTCTGTGTCTCTGTATTGATCCTCAATAAAACCATGGTATATTATTCTTGTTGTATTTATTTGAATATATTTTTTGCATGATTTCCCTGAGGGATGGTGGCTACTGGCTAGAACCAATGTGTATTCTCTTTAGTGTTTTATTTTACAAACTAGATTGGAAACTGCATTTAGGGATAATCTAACAAGAAGGACTATCTCAAGTGACCACATCACATAAAACACAGAAGGACTCTTTCTTCCTGCTGTAGGTCTATTGTCAATAAGAGAAAAATATACACATCATTATTGTTGAGGAACTCGTTTTCTCCTTCAAAACATTGATTTTTCGCCTCATTTTTCATCGTAACTGTAAAATATAGTCAAGGGCTCCCTCTAGTGGCTGAGTTACACACGTGCATATTTGAATATCTGGTGCAGGAGTAAGTACAGTGTGAATATAACCAGAAATTACTATACAGTCGCAAGTAGAAATTATGTAGAACGCAAACTTGTTTGTTTTATGTTGTATTTATCTTTTTGGATACATGTTCAGGAAACCTCAGAGAGACGTGATGACGCTTCACGTCCAGTGCAGGTTCACAGCAGCATCACTGAGGAACAGCTCACAGCACAAGTTTTCGGCAACTTTGCAATTCATTTACAGTGATTAATCTTTGCTAGAGAAAATGTATTTGAGAATGTAAGGCTCTTTCTGAACACAGCGAGGATGAGTCCGCCGGCTGGAGACGGATGAAGATGACATTTGTGTTTTGGCGATCTGTGTCTCTGTGGCTAAGTGTGGCTCTTCTGCTTTGGTAAGTTTGGCTCTTTGTTTGATTACAACATAAACATTAATGAATCGTGTTTTCCATACGGATGTAGGAGTTACAGTTATGCCATTGTTTAGCGCCAACCTTACATAGTAGTAGTGCTGTTCTCCTGTGTTAGCATGTAGCTTAGCAGCTTTAAGCTAATGTGGCGTCTGGCGCATTGACCAAAGTAACAGTGCGGAAACCCTTTGTTATTATGACGCTATACTCTTCTTATTTTGATTATGGTGCGTAAAACTCACAAATGTTTCTATAATGTACCCGATATTTTACCACTGGAACGAGCAGAACAAAATGTTATTCAGACGAACTATCCTCATATTGTCATTTGTAGCGTGTCGAGCCGAGCCGGGTCATGACATGCCATGCCATCTGTTGTGTCAGGGCTGTGTACAAGAGACAGTGTCACGGATCTTTTATATTGGAACAGAACAGATGTTGACTTCTGTTCGTCTGATTATCAAAACTATAAAAGTAAACTTTTAAAAGCGAAGCCAAAATAAACATGTAATTTCATTATCGAGAGGATACCAAGAACTGTTTTCCGACAATCCTTATACCTATAAGCGTCACAAATGACCCATTTGTTGCGTGTAATCTTGTGCAATAATGCCATTTCTATTTCTCTTCTCTATTGAATAACAATAATAGGAACCCTGAATGACGTGTACTAGGTGTGACCCAGGCAAAGTGCAGAACAGATAACCAAAGCTCCAGGGATGGGTCAATTTACATTTTACAACCCCACTGTACCACATGTTTCAAGACAAACTGTATCTAACATATTTTTACATCATGTGTAAGGGTGTCCTTTCTTGATGCAGGTGTCTTGAGTCCCATGTTAGTTGTACAAAGCCCCAGGAAGAGGCCAAGAGGCCCAAGTCCCCACAGAACGTGTGTTCGGAGAAAGGTTGTGACCAAAAGACTCCTAATGAGAAGGTAGGACAACTTAAAAACCATATAAAGCCCTCTTCTAGCAGAGGACATTCCTAAAACATATTTGAATTTCTGTTAAATTTTTAGATTGAAGCGACAAAATCAATTTCAGACGATGAACACCTTAAAGATGAGCAGGAAAAGGAGACTAAAGATACACACATAAGCAAACAGGAGCAGCACATACAGGTACAACTATTCAGTAGTATTTAAATATTTAGTATGGATTGATTCATGCTCTCACATGTACATGTATCATCAGTATCAATACTAATGTTTTCCATAGATCCTGGAAGTGCCTGCCATGGAAAATGATGTGTTAGAAGCACAAGAAAATGAGCTTGAACAACAGCCTGCAAGTGAACAGGACACACACGCTACACTTCCATCTTCTGAGCCACCGTCCAGTTTGGCTCCTGAGTTTAAAGATGGTTCTTTGCTGCACACTCAAGAGGAAATCTTAGAAAGGCAAGTCAATCTATCCTCAAATGTACATTCATCATGCATTTGGTTATTGTTATTATATAATGATAATTGTATTTTTTAGTGTTATGGGTCATCCCGCTGATTTGGCTGAGGCAAAAACTTCTGACCATCCTCTGGTTGATTGTGAGGAGGAGCCTAACCCCTTTGACGATGACAGGTCAGTTTAAATGCCCTCCATTATCTGCCAGCACATGGTGATGACACTGACAAAATGTCTGATTGGCAGTAGTCCTCCGGTGGTTCTGGAGAACACCTCAAACGCTCACACCACGGGCACCAAGTCCCTCCCTGACCCTCCTCTGAGCTCTTCAGCTGCTCCCAGCACACAGCACCCAGAGGCCAATGTCTCCCACATGCTTCAAGTACAGAGATATATTTGTCTTCTTAATATAACACTTGATTTCAGTTTCATTATTGCCATTATCTTTACAGGACCAGGACTCGATTGGCACAACTGAGCCAGATCCCAGTGTGGGCAACAGAGACCCAGAGGACATTCCAACATTTGATGAGTGGAAAAGAAAAGTGATGGAGGTCGAAAAGGAAAAAAGTAAACTCTTGATCATACACAGTGTGACATTGAATTCATGTTGAAGAGTTTTTTTCATTTTCATGATTATGAAAATAGAAAACTGTGAATAAATAAAAATAAATACAGAAATTGTAGATTCACACTGAAGGCCTCAAAACTATGAAAAAATGTGGAATTATGTACATACTAAAAAATAAAATAAGTCTTATATTCTCGGTTCTTCAAAGTAGCACCTTTTGCTCTGATTACTGCTTCACACACTCTTGGCATTCTCTTGATGAACTTCAAGAGGTAGGGACCTGAAATGGTCTTCCAACAGTCTTGAAAGAGTTCCCAGAGATGCTTAGCACTTGTTGGCCCTCTCGCCTTCACTCTGTGGTCCAGCTCACCCCAAAACCATCTGGATTGGGTTCAGGTCCGGTGACTGTGGAGGCCAGGTCATCTGGCCCAGCACCCACCACTCTCCTTATTGGTCAAATAGCCCTTACACAGCCTGGGTGTGAATCTACAGTCAATAGTCATGAAAAGAAAGGAAACTTATTGAATGAGAAAGTGTGTCCAAACTTTTGGTCTCTATTGTATATATAATGATGTTTTTGAAATGCAGGTTTGAAATAAATGATCAAACTAACAATTAAACCAAACTGTTTGTCTCCAGCTGTGACCACTCATACATCTACAAATGGAGCTGCTCATCCATTGAAGAAAGCCCAAAAAAACTTCAACAACTATGCTTCTGTGGAGTGTGGAGCCAAAATCTTGGGGGCTAACCCTGAGGCTAAGGTAAAGCCCACTGAAATGTATGCACTATTTTACACATTATTCTTTATCAAGTAATGCTTTTTTTCAAACAGAGCACTTCATCCATTTTAAAGGAGAACATGGATTTGTACATGCTGAATCCTTGTAGTAATAAAATTTGGTAAGTTGCATAGTGAACGCTGTTTTTGATATAGATGTGTATTTTCTTGCTTTGATCGACTCCGTTTCTCAGGTTTGTTATCGAGCTCTGTGAGCCCGTTCAGGTGAAGCAACTGGATATTGCCAATTTTGAGCTCTTTTCTTCTACGCCCAAGGACTTCTTTGTCTCAATCAGTGACAGGTGTGTGAAAAAACTACTTGTGAAACGGAAACACTGAGCCAGAAAACAATGTACTGTCATTCTATCTGTTGTGTGAATACACACACTTGTCTAAGTGTTGTGTATACATATTCTGTTGCAGATACCCAACAAACAAGTGGCTAAAACTGGGAACTTTCCATGGCCGAGATGAGCGAACTGTCCAGAGTTTCCCATTGGATGAACATATTTACGCAAAATATGTCAAGGTGGCTTTTTAATCATATTATTTCTCCTCATTGATCTGTCGTATTGCCTGAATCTCTGCATTTGTTTCCACTTCTGTTTTGCAGGTACATTTCTTAAATACTTCCCTTGAGTTATAGAATGCTCAAAGCATGTTGTAGTAGTATTTTATTTCATTAAAAAGCTGTTGTAATGCATCCTTTTGTTGTAGGTAAACGTGGTTCATGTATGAATGCATGTGGGCTTTCCTTTAATTGTTTCTATTTTTCTCTTTCTCTTGCATCAGATGTTCACCAAGTACATAAAGGTTAGCCTACTTTTACTTGTACAGAATTTATTTGGTCCATTTGCCTAATTTGCGAATATAGGCATTTGTTGTTCTTTAATTTGATAAATCAATATAAATAAAACATACTTACAAATATTGTGTTCATAAATAGAAAAAATAGCTAGCAAAAAACCCTATTCAATATTTGTTTTAATTTCTCTTTGTGTCACTTTTTAGGTGGAGCTGGTCTCTCACTTTGGGTCTGAACACTTCTGTCCTCTCAGTCTCATTCGGTAAGTAATCACTAATGTGGAAGTGACTGGAGACACTGTGACTATTATAGATATCTGTTTTCAGACATGGTTGTGAAATTTATTGTGAAAAGGCAAGTGGTGGCTTAGCTTCTGCCATATTTAAATATTTTTGATTCAGTAATGTAGAGTATAGAGGAAGGGGCAAAAAAAAGACTACTCATAATTTGATTGAATAAAAATAAATTCCGTAAAAATAATCTACAATAAAAGTGTATGTGTAGTGGACAATGGGCTGAGTGTTACCTCTGAATGTAGCTGTGTAATGTACATGAGTCATATTTCACTGTGACATGAATCCAAAATAACATGGACATAAAAATATGAATGCACTTCTGTTGCCAGGGTGTTTGGCACCAGCATGGTGGAAGAATATGAGGAGATCGCTGATCCCTCTGAACGAACAGAGGACCAGGACGAGGACATGGGTAAGATTTTCATCACTGAAGCTTCTCACCAGCTGTTTCAAATAGTTGAGTTCAAAAAGTCTGAAAATACAACACTCCTCTCCACAGATTACCCTGCAGGTTATGCACTTGGTGAAGGTGACTCCAAAAATTTGATTGGCTCAGCAAAAGGTAAGAACCCTATTGATAATCTTGGCGTGTTGTTGCCTTGGAGTCTTCAAAGAAACCCGTGCACTCAAATGGAAGATCAAAATGACAATATAACATTTTTAGTTCCATCTCTTGCAAAAATATAAAATATTTTTCTTAGCAGTGTCTCACGGTATATTTGGCTCTACAGATGCCATTTTTAACATTGTGAAAGACATTGCTGTGGTTTTAGGAAGAAGCGATGAGATGCCAGGTAATGCACATTCACACTATTTGGTTGCCTTATTTGAAAGAAGCAGATCTACAAACATACAATTTGTTCTTCAGGCAACGAAACATCTCAGGAATTTAATCTTACTGAGCCACAATTGCAACCTGAAACAACTACTGAAGCAAAACTTGATTTCCCACAAGAGTAAGTAAAACACCTCAAATTCCAGTAATTGGAAGCTTTCTGATGTACATACAGTATCTGCATTTCTTGACGTTATTTATTTTGCTCTAATCTAGACCAGAAGTGGAGAACCCTTCCAAAACTGCCACTTCGGATCAAAAACCTGAGGAGGCTGCAACTAATTTGGACCAAGATGCATCTGCAGCGACAAGAGAACAAATTGTCATTCCTTTAGAGAAAGATGAGGAAGAGCCAAGCATAAGCACCACCATCTTTTACCTGGGCGAGGAGGAGGGAGATGAGGAGAAACTCGGCGACCTGCTACAGCCGAGTCAGGATCCGTGCGCTCTGTCGCCTTTGTCCCCTGCCTGCTCCTGTGCTGCTTCCCTGGATGAGTACTTGCTGCAGAAATGCTTACTGCACGGGCCCAAAACCTGCACAAACTGCAAAACAACAGAACATATGCAAACAAATGTACCTAACTGGGTCATATACCAGCCGCCGCCTTCTCAGGAACTGCCACAGCCACAAAAGGATTGGCTTGATATTTCGGAGGTAGTTGAGCATGACGGCAAAGCCAGCGTCATTGACAATGTGCAGGATTCTAATAAACTATCACAATCAGAAGTTTTCCCTGTGGAGCTAATTCCAAACTCGGATCATCTGCCAACCGTTGAGTCTTCTGATATTCAACCGACGGAGATGCCAGAGTTGGCCCCTGAAGAACCGATCAAAATGACAAATTCTGAAACTAATAAGAATATTGCTGAGGTGAAGCAGATCGAATCAAACGACCACCTCCAATCTGTCCCTATAGTCAACGCAGCAATGGATGAGGCAACACTGACGAAAGAGAAGGCCAATCCAGTACCTTCACAAGAGCATGGAAACCAGGATACAGTTGATCCTGGCCTGGACGCTCACCTCATAGCACCTCATTCAGAGCCAGATGCAGCCGTGTTACTGGATGAACACAAACTGGCGGAGATAGAGACCCTCCCTGACCAGCTGCCGTCTGAAGCACTGGGTAGTGATTCCAGAATGGAGGACTTGACGGAGGAAATTGTCGCAGGTATCTCTCGCCCCTCCGCTGCTGCTGCTGCTTCGGCTGCTGCTGCTGCCTCGTCCTTCTCGGATATTTACGCCGATCCGCCGAATGGTACGGAGCTGAACGGCAGCCCGGTGCACGGCTCCAGTCAGAAAGAGTCTGTGTTTATGAGACTGAACAATCGAATCAAAGCCCTGGAGATGAACATGTCACTGAGCGGGCGCTACCTCGAGCAGCTCAGTCAGAGGTGATGCACTGATTTATACCATCTGTTCTATGCACTGATATGATACTGGTGCAGGCAGACATCAAAACATTCCACAGAGCGTATAGTTTAAAAGTGTAAAAGTATTAGTAAAACTATGTTTTAGTGGTGACTATATAAAAAGGTCGCCAATAGAAATGACTCAGCAATAAGAATAATATGGTGGGTTTGTGAATCTGATGATGATCTGGGAAATAATTCAGATTATTGAATTAAAAAAAGAGTGTTTTTCTTTTTTAAATACTTGTTTCTCTGCTAACCGGATAAAAATCAGCTTTGTGACTGTTATTTTTACATTTGTTGACACGTATTCTCCACACACACATGTTCATAAATGTGCATTGTCCCTATTCCAGAACATTATTGAGTTGTAGCATTTACTTAAATTATATATAATATAGGTACATTAAGGATAAGTAACCATTTTGTCACAAGTACATGTCACAAAAACGTGATTTTTCAGTCCCTTGACTGGTATCGTTTTCGGCAGATATCGAAAACCAAAAGTTATCGAAATTGAAAAAGCTGAATCCTGAATTTGTGAAATGTACTGATATATTTTTTTATTATAGATACCGGAAACAAATGGAGGAGATGCAAAAGGCCTTCAACAAAACTATAATCAAACTCCAGAATACCTCGAGGGCAGCGGAGGAGCAGGTTAGTCAACAGTTTATATTAAAGGGGCTTTGTGCAATTTTCAATGTTTTTTCATATTTTACCGAATGGCTATATATGTAGTCAGTGGTTTATGTTTTCATGTTTATTTTTTATTCTTTAGGATCTTCGACAGACTGAATCCATTCAGCAACTGCAGGCTCAGCTGGAAAATATGACTCTGTTGATTCTCAATCTGTCGGTCCAGGTCAGCCAACTGCAGAGTGAGGTCAGTGTGAACATAAACACATTAGATTAAAACTAGGGCTGTCAAAATGATTACGTTAACGCACGTTAATTAATTTTTCAATTATGTTAAAAAATTTACCCATTTGACGCATGTACCGAATGACCCGCCCACGCATCCCATAATGACACTCAGACGCCGCAGACACATGTTTAAAAAGAATGTGCGCGTGACCCCGGGGTGCTTTTGAACTGGAACGAGAGTCCATTCAAACAACCATTTACATAAAAATATGGCATAACTTTGCGATAGTTACTATGCGATTAATTACGATTAATTCATCTTTTAGCTGTAATTAACTCGATAAAATGTTTTAATTGTTTGTCAGTCCTAATTAAAATGAATATAAAACTGTCTTCCTGTCAGGTGTCTGATCGAGAGAGTTACCTGCTGCTCTCCCTGTGTCTGTGTCTCTGTTTGGGGCTTCTGCTCTACATCAACCGCTGCCCTACATCCTCCACTTCCTGTTCAGAGCCGGATCCACCAACCCCAGAGAGTGTCACCTACTGTTGTCCAGAGCGGTAGGAAACTGTTTACTCCCCACACTCACAAATATACATGGTTGAACCTCAGAAATTCACAGTTAAGATAAGATTTTAGACTTTATTGCTCTCATGCTGGAGAAATTTACAGCAGTTCTAACTACAGTTTTAATCATTATTTTCAGAGAAGTAATTTGTGGTCCTAATGATTCACTGAGATTACTAAGCCGTAGCTCTTTTCTCCCTTGACATGGAACCATTTTTATTAACAGGCAGTTTTCCAGCGATGAGGCAGCACTCAAGAGAAGCGCTTCGTACCCACTGATGCACTCTGACTCATTCCAGTTAGCCTCCCCTATGGGTAATTATCCATTCACCACTGCTTTCATCTATGACATATGTCATCAGTTATAGTTGTAAATATAATGCTGTGTTTTACTTAGGTCCAGAGATTCTGCAACACGAAGAGACGCAAAGTCTGTGTCCAGTCAGTAAAAAGGTAATTATGTGTTTGTATGTAAATTGTTCTATAAGCACTATCACTCAGGCAAAGTCTCAGGTCCACATCCGTGTGCCCATGACCGTGGTAGAAAATTCAAACAGTCTGCTCCTACTGGACATGGAAGAAACAGCAGCTCTCATTGTAATTTTTGTACTTCACTTTCTTTCAGAGACGACGCAGAAAGGTAAAGTCCCTGGAAAAAGTAGAGACTCTAAAGCCCTCTCTTCATATCGCTGACCCCATCCTGAACAAAGGACCTGATAATACATATGTGTCCCTCATGACTGAGCCTACACCTCTCCCACAGAGATTACTTGAAGCCCCTTTTCGAGACTCTCCATCTGAGGGCAGCTCCGAGGGCTCGTCTCACTCCGATGAACTGTCATTTTGCGGCCTCACCACAGCCTGTAATAAGATCTGTGATGGACTTCCTCCTAAAACCAGTGCGGAGAGGCGGGCCCTAAGGCGCAGGCGTCCCAGACCCAGTGCAGTGGTGGACTATCTCAAAGCCCCCCGCAGACACAAGAGGAACTCTCTGCCTATTTACACCATCCATGACATTATGGATCGGCAGGAGCACAACTCCTGTGACCTCAATATGCACCTGTCAGGACCTGTCTGACTATAAACATGTTCTTGCTGCTAAAGTTGTAAAACATTTGATTGGAGAGCAATCTTTAAGCTTTCCACTTGAACAATCGGTACCTATTAATGCTCTGCATTGCTTATGCGATGAATGTCTTCCAAGGAAAAGATGCTTCCTGATAGATTGGGAGTTAATTTAAATGTAAATTTTATGCTTTTCCACAAACGTTTTGTAATCCTCAATTTATGTTTTGTGATACACATTTGGAGGGTCGTAGTATTTATTTAATAGATATTTATTAACTGACAAAGAATTTGTTCTAATTCAGTAACTTGTCATATTTGTTCTGATAATAGTTTGTTTTCACTGTTTTGATTCACTTTTACTTTTTTCAAAGTACCTTGAAACAATCCTTTGTACAATCGTCATGGTGACCCATATCTGGACAGTTACTTAGCTTTAATTCTGTCCCAACTGTGTTGCCTCGAGTCTCCAGCAGAGGGCAATGCAGCCTTTGTAATACCCAATTAAATTCAAACTTCAACGCCATCATTTTCTGTTGATGATGTTTTTTCTAGATTGCAGTAAAACCTATTATAGATCCATGAGTAAAACTCGGTCTCCTATTTTGTTGTGTTTTTATTTTTTATTTAAATCTCATTTATTTAAGTCTCTCATGTGTTGATATATTTATATTTAAAAAGCACACCTTGAAGGCAATTGTTCCATGTAACAGCATAAACCTTGAGTTTACAGAAATCTCATGTGCATCATTAACTAAAAGGTTATGTATTTGCATTTGTTAACTTGGTTATAAATATCAGTTTCAATTCCATTATTTTTCTCTGCCTCTTAGTGTCAGTGGTCACGCATGGGGCAGAGCAGAGAAAATTGGGTTAAAGCCTCTTTATTTATGTGGCCTGGCTGGTAGCAGGGGACACTTCATTTTGTTAACAGTATTCCTGGGTTTCCCTCTTCCTATTTCAAAGATAATCTGTAATGCAGGGCTGCAATCCTCTTTTCCCAGGCACTTTTATCTGAGGCTGCCATGGACTCAATAGATGTTTTTAGAATAGCCTTTAGCTGTGTTGAGCCTATAGTGGTGGTGACTGGCTTTCAAACTCAGTATAACGTGTAGAAATTAGAAGTTATTGCTGCCGGTGTTGTCCTACTAAAACAAGTGTGTGTGTATATATAATTTTATATATATATATATATATATATATATATATATTATATATATATATATACACACACTTGTTTTAGTAGGACAACACCGGCAGCAATAACTTCTAATTTCTACACGTTATACTGAGTTTGAAACGTTATACTGAGTTTGAAAGCCAATTATATATATATATATATATATATATATATATATATATATAATATATATATAATTATATATATATATATAATAATATTAGATTATTAATTGAGCAATTACGCTATGACTTAAGGAATGGGTAGCCCAAATGTTGGTACATAATGTTTATTGAGCTGTCTTTAATCTCTACAAATGACTCGATAAGAATTTTTGGAGCCAGAATACGTTTGTCAAGTATTTTTGTAAACACTAACTTCATTCTTACTGCAGATATCAAAGTTATTTTAAATCGATTTTTCCCAGTAAGTAAATATTACTCATTTATTGTTAGTTTATTTAAAGCTTGGCTATATCACTCAGGGTTTTCTTTGAATTGAACTGTCTCTGTTCAAGTAAGCCTCACTTTTGACATTTTGAAGATGTAGACTCTTTAATAAGGCAGGTGTGTCAATGACAGAGTGGCCCGGTGGCTGAGAGGGTAGCTCCTTCACCTCTCATCTACAACTTTCTAAGTATGAATCCCAGTCGAAGCATAAATTGATATTTAAACTTTATTGCAATCACTTTAGTTTTTTCAAGTAAACTTTACTTGTCAGGGTTTACAGTGTGGTTATAATATTAGAGTATGAATTATTTGGGTATTGATGATTTAAAAATCCTAAATTTTACCTCACATTTTGCAGTGTTTTTGAGTCTGGGCTCAATTGTAGGCTGTGGGAGTCCCTCACTCAGTTTATGATTGGAGCAGCATAATCCTTTGAGTCTTTTGCTTTCTCTGATTTTGCGGTATATGGATGAAGGAGTGGGTGTTGCGACCTCTTTGATGTTCGCTGGATACCATTTGAGACCACTGCATTAACTATGGATTTACAAATTCTGTCACAGAATTTCCTTTCTTGAAGCTATCCCACTGGTAATTCTCTTCTCCTAAGCAGCTCATTCTATACTAATTTTAACTAATACAATCAGGCAATGCTCTAGTTATGATCAATGCAGTTTTGTAATTCCTAGTTATATACCGGTGTCTGGTCATTTTGTGGAAATTGTCAGAATCTACAATTCTTTTGATCTTCCAGAATGTGATCTTTATTTTGAGGGTATTTAGATCCGTGCAGGTGGTTTGGATGTAGATACAGGATGTAGAACAGTTGTGATCAGTGTCCCCCACTTCTGGAGGGATTAAAAGTAGTGGGTAGGTGGAAAGGCCATGTTTGTTATTTTCTTAATCATCCCATGTACAAGGAGCAGACAAAAGCTTGGAATCAGTTCCTCTTCATTTTGTGTGTTACAAGACTCAAAGACTTGTCACTATCAGTGAAGAAAGTCGTCATTAGGCTGAACATCAAAACAAACTCATCAGAGATAATTAAATGTGCAAGACGTAATTAAGTATTTGGATCAATCTGAAAAACAAAGAACTCTCTGTTGAGCTCAGCAACACCAAAAGACCTGGAAAACCGAGGAGACACCACATAAAAATGACTTAAAACCAGCCAGGTCCAGGCACCGTCTCCAGGACCATTTTCCCAAAAATGGAGGATTAAAAGAGAATAATTTGCTTTGAATCGAGTCAAACACATGGACACCTCATCAATATTGGATCGTATCACTTTCATTCTACGTGCACCAGATCTCAGCATGATTCCAGAACAGAGCAAGATCTGATTTGGGACTGAGCAGAGCAAATGTGGGTTATGTTTCCATCCAGTTTGATTATTACTTGATGGGGCGACAGTGGCTCAGTTGGTAGAGCATTGGCCTTTGAGCCTGAAGGTCGTGGATTCATTCCAAGACTTTCTCCATCGACTCCCACTGATGTCGTTGGGTCCTTGGCAAGAAACTTAACCTCTGGGAACACCTGATGCCACAGTGGGGCGGCTGTAAAGTGCCAAACTGCCGTTGTGTCCTTAGGCAAGACACTTCACCCTCTTGTCTGGAACGAGTTGGTGGTGTTTGCGGGGCCGATGGTCTTCTTCTTCTTCTTCTTCTTCTTAAGAATAATTATGTTCCTATTTTTTCAGCTTGTAACCTAAGGACAAAATATTGTTCAAAATGTTTCAACCATCTGTCCAAATACCAGTAAACCCGCTGCATTACAGCTACCTTGATGTTTAACATCATTGAACCTCTACATGCTGAGAATGTTTCCATGGAGACATGTGGCAATTACAAGTCAAATCTCTGAAGCAAGATCCTGTCAGACACTGAAGCTAAGCAGTTAACACTGCTGGTTAATACTGTGATGGGAGACCTCTGGGAGTACCAGGAGCCACAGTGGGGCAGCTGCGGAAGTGAAGTGCCAAACCGTTGTTGTGTCCTTAGGCAAGACACTTCACGCACATTGCCAAAATGAGTCTTGTGTATGTGTGTGTGTGTGTGTGAATGGTTAGTGGTGGACAGAGGGACTGATGGCACATACGGGTTGCCTTGCTTGTGTCAGTGTGGCAGCTGTGGCTATAGTGTATGTGTATGAGTGAAAGTATAATAACACCTGAAGCATCTGTGAGTGTCTAAAAAGCGTTATATAAAACCGATACATTATTATGTGCATTCCATTTATGCTGCTGTGTTACGGTATGTGTTGACCCCACTCTCCATGTTTTCCTCAAATCTCGCTCCAGGGCAGCTGTGGCTTCTGTAGTAGTTTATCACCGCCGTGTATGGAGTGAACGAATATAATGGAGGGAAAGAATATAGACATTTGAAGCGTCTTTGAGTGTCCAAACAAACACTAAATAAAACTGATGCATTATAATTATTATGATTATGACATAAATAATAATAATGGGTTTTCACTATCTATTTTATATTTTTGTTCAATAAAAAACCTATGTAATTGAACACACAAACTTTGATGCTGCCCAAAAGTTATATAATGCAACTTTAATTAGTGTCTAGTAGACAAAATATTCCACAGGGTCTTCTCATTTGCATATCCTCTTACATAAGACCAAATCCCTGTGCACATATAAAACATAAACGCAATGATAGATTATTGTGGCGGTAACTGTTATTAATCATGGCTCTGTTGATTGTACTTGTATTGTGTAAGTAAATGGATGTGTTTCAAGTTCAGTGCTGCCCCATGTGGTTCTCTAATGATCTAATTAGCATGTAAATAATATGGCTCTCTTGTGCGACTGTCTTTTTAATTGTGATTCATGTTTTTGGGAGCTTGCATAAATGTTGGGTTGTTATGTAATCTAGAAAAACAAGGAAAGATCAAGTAAAATGCTTTAAATACTTTTACTATTATAAATATATTTCAAATCAACCTAAGCTGTTTAGTGAAGAAGATAATGGCAATGGCCTTGTGCAAGCGGTGGTGGCACCCTTTAGTGACAATTGTTTATTTTATTTATATTTTAGTCCTTCATGCATTCAGGAAAATCACAGTTGATAGAGCTCAAATATGAAAGACCATCACACAAATTCTAAAATTCTAATTCATTATTGATTGCAGTATTTGCATCCTCTGCTAGTCGTATCATGTAACCCACTAATGTGTTTACTTCAGAGCTCTAGCAATGATTTTAAGATTTGCAAAACTTACGACCGTCCAATTATGTATGCACAACAAACTTACATAATTAATCAAACTTGAATCTTTTTGTTTTTCTAACTAATAACATTTCATAATCTATATAAAATAGATGGTCAAAGTCATATCTTTTCAATGGGTAAGTGACAAAATGACGCATTAAAATCA